AGCATGTCACAATACTACACTTTCTTTGTCAAAAGAAAGAAATGCTTACTTTCTGTCTTGAAATATGTAAGAAACTGGGCATGTGAATGCAAGAGATCACACTGGGGCACAGAACAAACAACAGCAGCACAAATACAAAGAAGTCTCTTACAATGCTAATTAATCCAGCGATAAATAAACTCTGGCGCAAACATTCCTCACAGGAAAGCAGGTCATTAGCATTGATGAGATGAAATAAATGATCTTCCTAAGACATTTAGAGCAGACCCGCTCCAAATGATACTCACGCCTTGCGATTATACCACCAGTCAAACAATTTACATCTACCATCCAGTGGAGAACATACAGTATTTGCATGCAAGACTGAGATTCCTTTTTGCTCCTCAAATCTAATGGAATTTTAAAAGGAATTAATTGCTAATAATTGAACACCAAAACTAAAACCTTTTACTGCTATAACGAGTCAAAACCAGGCACAGAAGCCCAGAAGTTTGTGAAGCCTTTTAAAATGGATTTTCTGCTGGAGGTGCAACATCAACAATGATTTGCATCAGTGATTATCTTAATTAAACTGCTGTTTACATAAGTAACCTTGATTTACTTTAAATGTTGTTCGGTGTCATTAGACCACTCATTTAATCGTGCGCATTTCCTTTAGCTGAAGCCTCCTCCCACCTTCAGCAGGCTGTGAACAGCATTCTGCTACAAGAAGTAAAGCCAGAGCAAATTTAATCCTATACAAGCTTCAGTAAAGACCCACATTCCTCTTGCAGTTTAACAGACAAGGTTAGACCCACTGGTCACAAGCACAGCAGGAGACATCTAAAGAAGCTGCTACTTTAACATGTTAAATTTAAGGAGGAAAATAGTTACTTGGAAGTCTTATGCAAGTTCCTCTGTACAAACATTATGGAGCACGTTTCAGACCCTTACACTATACTAGTTGTGACAGGGATTTCACTCTTCAAGCTGGGCGTAGCCAAGATTTCTGAGGATGCTGAATGCATACTGTGATCCTGTGAAGGAACACGTGCCACCCCTGCTATATATGATGCTTTGAATGTGTTAAGTAAAAAGTGTTAAGTAAAAAGAAACTACATTCCCTGCCTTCGTTTTTCTACATCACATTTCTCACTCAAGGAGGTAAGCTCCCTCCTGATGCTGCAGTGACCGGCTGGCACATGTAGTGCTGAAAGTCTTCACTAGATCATAAATTTGAACCAAAAGAGATGAACAAAAAACAATCTAAGATGGAAAAAACACCAGGATAACTCTGAAATGAGCAGTGGCAGATGTTCAGAACAGAAATCAAGACCAGTGGCCATCACTACCCCCTGAATTCACTCCACAGTAATGCTAGAATAAAGTAAGGTTTGTTCGGCAATATTTACAGAATTACAGAGCTTAAAATTCCATCCTTCCAAGAAAACAGCTCAGCCACAAATGACTGTGCTTGTTCCAGCGTGTCATCAGCATGGATGATTGTTATGATCTGCTCAAGGCGTACAATCCATGAGAGTAGCACTGCCAAACAAACAAAAGCAAAGAGTAGGCATCTTCCAAATTAGTTATTGTTTTAATTTCTTAATAATGAGTGAAATTTGAGTTCCAAATTCAGGATGCCCAAGGATAATAGGACAAGTCTAGAAACCAAAGCTAGGGCAAAGAGGGCTCTCCATTTCTTTTCTATAACCATCCATCTTCAGCTGATTTCTTGTTTCTTTTATAAAGAGCAAAACAACCAAACAAAACACCCAGCGTGTAGTTGACAAGCTGCCTCCTTTCATTCCAAAGGGCTACCCAGGCTCTGCTTGGGCAGGCAGAGCCAGGCACCACTCACCCTCGGCTAACAAAGTCACCCGCAGGGCTGCTTTCACATTCTCCTCTTGCGGGGCTCCGAGCGGTTGATGTACATCTTCACTCTGCAGAGCAGCGCATGGCTCCAAAGCTCCCTATTAATAGCTACTTGGAACTCTGCTGTCATCGGACTTTGGCTAAATCAGGCCAATGTAAAGGCTTTGGAAGCAACAAGGAAATTAATGCAGCAAAGCAGGACATCAATGCTCATCAGGATACCTGCTGCCTTCAGGACCCCTCCCAAAAGCGTCACACATGCCTATGTCACTTTTTATCCTACTTTAATTCCTTATCTTCTTTGCATCATGGAAAACCACAAAACCTTCCCTCATCTCTACAACAAAAGATACTTCCTCCATTTAAAAATAAAATCAAAATCTTTGCATGAATTTAAAGTTTCTGTTTAACCATGTTATATGCACAAAATACTAGCCACATCCACCTCAGTACTTAAATGGCCTGGGCGAATTCTTACAACTAAGAAAAGATCATTCATATGTGGAACAACAGCCACTAAGTATATTTAAGTATCTTCATTTGAACATGTATCACTGGAGATTTTCTGTGACTAAAGGAAATTACTAGCGGTTGGGGCATGTAGAGACTGGAACTGTGTTCTAAAAACCAAGAGTTATGTATGGCACAATAAACTGGTCTTATTCAACTTAACTTTCTTTCACAATTACACATCGCATGAAAGGAAGGAGGAAAAAAAAAATATCATCAAAACTCCATAAAGATGAGGAAAAATGAAACTAAGAATATTTCTGAGCTATTAATCTTTCCTGATAATGAAGTACTTGAGGATGACTCCTGAAAACTCGCTTTCATTTAGATGCTTCATTTATTTTAATCTGGGAGATAATTAGAGGGAAATCAAATCCATCTCCGCAGCAGAATGTTTACCTGAGATGCAGCTCAGACTTCGCAGTATTTCCCCTGTGTGTTCAAACCCAGTGCTATAGATATCATTAAAACTTTACTTAGAGTAATGTCCGTTACTTAATGAGCATCAAAACTGGAGTCTGCAAGGTTTGCTGCTGGTCAGCTGTCAAAACAGGAATTCTTTCTGATTTCTTTGCAATTAATAGGCCAAATTTTGTTTTCCCTGCTGGCAGGCACAATTAGACCAGCAAAAAGATTACAATGGGTAGGTGAACTAGTGTCCAGCATTCTCTCTCTAGCCAATTATTTAGTTATTAGCTTTGGCCTGCAGACAGAGGAATGATGCCATTTATCTGTAGTTACCTGTAGGAGTGTTTGGAGAGGGAATGTGGGAGCACACATCGGAACTGGCTGAAATGCACCAAAACAAGCAAGAGCTGGGACACAAAGCAAAACCACTGCAAAACCTTTGCTAGTGAAGGCAAGGCAAAAGCAACTGGTGCTCAGTTCCTGTCTTTGGTGTAAATCTCCATAGGCGATCAGAATGAGGTCCTTTAAATGAAGCTCACGGTATGATTGTGTCTCTCCCAAAGCTGTATGCACCATCATGAATAGTTCAATGAAAAGTTACTTGGGAGTAGAAGGGGTAACTCTCACCTGAAGGGGGAGGCAGCTGTCATCCATGGGTTCCTGTATACCCACACAAAACATTATCAGAAGATTGCCCTTTGCAGCAAGAAACACCAACTTATGGTGAAGACATACAGATACTCATCAACAAGATGCTCTGTTAACCAGATTATCCACAAAAAAAGCTGCACCATTGATGAATTCTTCTTGTGACCAGCCAACAGTTTCTCTCATCACACACTAATCCTGTTATAAATTATTCAGGACTCGAAATGTATCAGAGAAGAACCCTCAGTGGAATGAGCGTTCCACACACACCAGCGTTCTCCAGGAATTTATTTGTAGTTATCATTTTCCTTTATTCCCTATCTAATATTTAGCTAATGAATGCTTGACGTAACTTCAGCATGAGGAAAGACATAACTGGTTACATAATTACAGGTTAAAAATGATCTTTTTTCAGCTCCATGCACTGAAGGAATCTTAAGGGTGAAGGTTAAGTACAGGCCACACACAGTACAGATTGCTTTGCAAGATATTCTGCACACCGACCACAGCAACCTCTCTGTGCGGCACTGCCTCTGAAAGAATAGCTTGATCTTGTAATATTACTACAATAATAAAGATTGTTTTAAGTATTATCAGTCATGTCTTGTTCATGGGACTCTGTCTACAAAAGGACAGCAGGTTTGCGCTTGAAATCATTACAGAACATGAATAACATATTTAAGGTTGCCACTAAGCACCAAGAGAAGAACAAGATCAATATTTTAGTATGAAGGCAGGCCTATAAGCAAGAATTTCTAGGGGAAAAAAAGAAATCTCCCTTTCATATCTCCAAGGAACTGCTTAAAACAAGGTATTTCATCAAAAAAGAAGACACTCTTTCTCTCAGCCCGATCCCCACCACAAGCACTGCTGTGCAAGCTGCTCCAGGCAGTTCCTCTCATTTCTAGACCATAGATTTAACTATATTTATTATCACAGATCAAGCAAGCGATTTCTAAATACAATATTTATACTCTTCAGCTCCAGTGGGGCAATTCATTCAGAGTAATTGGTGACTTTCAAGCAAATTAACACACAAAATTTACATCTCATGACTTCGGAATGAAAAACAGGCCTCAAGTAAAAGAACAAGTAAATAAATCTGAGTTACTAAATGGTTTGCACCAGTTCTGAAGCAAAGGTAAGATATTCTAAGGGAACTGATAAACCCTGATTTACTACCAGTTTGTGGACATTTTCAATTCCTTGAGTACTTGCGTGGCTCCCTGCACACTTAGACCACTGCTCTACGAAAGCAGCACATGAAGTGATCAGAGCCAACCTGTGAGACCCCCATTTGTTGGACTTGCTGCTACTAAACACAGAGTACAACAAATTGTTTTCTTTCCCTGACTTTCCCTTGGCAGATCCACAAACCCAAATACTCTTTTTGCACCATGCCACTAAATCCATATTCTACAAGCTTTTCTGAAAGAGTTACCACTGTGGATGCAGAAGGAGTCACACACACAGTGGGAACTCATCATCCTGGATAAACTGACATAACTGTGTGAAAACAGTTAACTTTTAGAACTACTACAAGGTACTGATACAAAATAACTCGAAGTCAACACACTTACTGGATATCTTTTCTCTTTTTATTCTGAGGGTCCACCAGACGAAGAGTGTCTCTGATAACAGCTACTTTCACTTCTTCATCAACAGGGCTTGGGACGTTTTCAAAGACTCCAGGAGAAAGCTTTCAATTACAAAGGGATGCAATTACTCGGCACAGACCTGAAGATTATTTATTCCACATTTCCTCAAACTTCATGCTTGTCATGTATGTTTTAAATACACAGTGATTGACAACAAAATACTTCTTACAGGATACACAAATACCTTCGTATTTTCAGTATGATATTATAACATTTTTTGGCAATTTTCTCTAGCAAATTGAAGTATTAAGAAACAGATTACTGCCACTGTTACCTTTATATTGCGTATATAAACATGAAAAAATGATTAGCAATCCCCTAAACACAATTAAGCCAACTGCAGGGGATGATGAATAAATGTATTCATGACAAAGATGATGGAGAGCTTTCACAATTCCAATAAGTCGTATTTCTAGTGCATAAGATTAGCAATGATTTCAAAGCAGAAAATTACAGAGAACCTTGGCAGTTTCATATTAGTAGACAGTTTTCATCTTTCAAACAAGGAAAAAAGGCCAGCAAACCAAATCTAAACAGTTTCATTCCAATATCACTGTCATTTTGAGAGCTCTTACCTCTTGCTCATGTTCTATTCTCATGCTGGGGTTTGCATTTACTTCAAGTAACATTGGCTTCAAGTTTTTCATCAGGAGAATGTCAAACCCTAAAATCTGTACATAACAAGCAATGTGTTACTTCAGTTCTACTCAGTCCTTTTCTAGAGAATGCAATGGTCATCCATATGTCAATGAACAGGAGGAAGAAACACTTGAGGGGCAAAAGAGAAATAACTAAGAAACATGAGAAATCACTGAACAATTCCTGAAGCCACTTGCCTTCAATATTAATGGCTACTTTCATGCTACTCCCATCTCAGAATACTGCATCAGTCAACATGGAATCTTAGCACCTGTGACAAGTGGGTCTTAAAACTGCAATCATCTTAGCAGCATTAGGAAGCTTCAAAGCTTCATAGTTACAACATCTAAAAGATGGAGACAAGTGAATACTACTATCAAAGATTGATATCCATTGAAAATTCTCCATATATGTTTATGCCTAATAGTAACACAGGTCAGGAGATAGGGATTCGTAAGGTAAAACCTGGGGGTGAGGAAAACCTAAGCTCTGAGCTCATGCAGTGCTACTCAGTGTATGCAGCACACCCAACCAGTGATCAGCATAACTAGAGAAAGCTTTTAGAAAAGCAATTAAACATCCAGAAAAATAATCCATGCATAGAAACAGCGGCATTCCTGGCAGAAATTCCAACCTACCTGGAAGCAAGTTGGCCCGGGCTTTCCTGCTGGTATGTCAGACTGATAGTAAACTTTCAGTTCTGGTGTCAGTGCAATAATTGTTTTAATCACCAGTGAAATTATATCTGACCACAGCTTTTTGACATCAGCTCCTCTGGAAGACAGCCTGCATAGAATGCTGGAAAAAGTCCTCTTGCTGCCAGTGTTCACATTGTCAGAATGGATGAAATTCCCGCTATGGATATTTAGCGAGTAGTTGGTTAAATGCATAAAAACCTGGTGCAAATTTTTTAGTGTGGGTTCTTGGTAGGGCTCTGTACAGAATCTAGAAAGTCCATCTTTGGCTATGTAAATCTCTAAGGGTTCTAAAGATTTCAATAAGACATAAAGACGGATATCAAACTTCAGTTTGTCAATGAGCAGTGGTTTGCAGATGTACTCCTGGACCACAGCTGGCCGGCTCTGGATGCTCCCTGTCTGCCTGATATCACTTGGGTCTTTAATGAGGTAGATTCCATCTCCCTGGCACCCTCCATCAGGTTTCACAATAAAAGTGGGCTTCCAGGATGGATCGCTGTCTTTCATCATACGAACCTGGAAGGAAAAGGATTACACTGAAAGACATTAACTGAGGAAGGGGAAAAGGGCTGATGAAAACCAACAAATTGCATTTATAAACAGAAATAAGCAAAAATAACACAATCACATGACTACAGCAGTAAACACTGTGGAAAAAAAGGCAGACGATAAACAGCACGGACAAGCACAGAGACAAACCAAAAATCATGAGTAGGGAATTAGTAGTACAGCTAAAAGGTCACTTTATTTAACAAGCCATTGTATAAACTACACCAGGAACTTCTTTTTAATGTTACATACCAATTTACACACTGAAATGCTGCATATCTCTTGCACAGAGAAATGCATCCAGTTCACAGAACTCACAGAGTTCTGTCAAATACTCATCACTGCTAACAAGTTAAATTAACAGAATCATTCCAGAAATGTTTTTTTCCCAGAAGAAATACATTACCAATTGAACTTACTACACACGGGTGATGGGAGATGCCCCCACTAGAAAGGCAATAGGAGATGTGAAATTTTGACACCTACTAACACTCTGTGAGCATGGGTATAAAGGTCACCAAGACACAGAAACAGCATGAAAAAGGAGGAAAGAGGAAAAAAAAGAGGAAGAAAAAGGTCAGCAAACCAGTAGCTTTCAGGATCAGTTTCTTTCCATTGTTTGTAGTGCCTTGCCATGAAAGAGCTCTGTTTGTTAAAGTCAACTTTAATATTTTGTAAGAACGTCGCTGGAGGACTCTGTGACCTATTTCTGTGTTGTTTACAGCAGCGTGGACCTCAATATTCATCTATCCAATTCTCCTGGTGCTTTGTGATATCCATGAGTACAGTATAAGCCATTATATCCATATCTCAAGGTTTTTTTCCACACTGTGCCCTAGATTCTTGGGACATATGAGGGAAAAGGTTTAAATGGTTCACTGACAGAAATTATGGTAAGAGTGATGGGGAAGTATCTGGGGTTTGTCAGAACCTAACTGCCCTACAGCACTGAAAGGGAGCCCTAACAAAGAATGCAGCTACAGAAAACGCAGGACACAGGCTAATACATTTATCAGCTACTCATGGGATTTGGAAGAATAAAGCACTTAAAATCTGTTCTTTTCAAAATGGAGGGATGTCACAGTAGAGATCACTCTTTTCTTGCATTCACATGTTTTACAGCACCAGACCTGCAGCTGCTATTCTCTCTATTCAGCCAGACACTGCTGAACAGCGGCGGTGATCTGGTTTTACACAAGCCTGAGGCTTGCCAGCAACAACTGAGATTGACTTTAAGAAGCCTGAGGATACAAGCTCACAAAGAAAAAAAACGATCAATAGCCACTATCAGTCCTGGCCCCACAGAATGAAAGAGAAGAAATCAGCAAACAGGAGAAAGCTGAGCACCACTGAGATCATGGGGATTTTCAGACAGCACCTTCTGCTGCACTACATCAGGCTGCAGACCCACATGAGAGCTCCCCCAGCCACAACATTCTCAAGGCCTGAAGCACTTCTGGCTCCATCCTATCCAGTTACTTATTTCATTGAGAATCACCCTGCTAAAAGCCTTCCTATTAACTACAGCAGAAATTCAAGATCAATTATTTAGACTAGGATTTTTGCCATGGCCAAGTGTCACACTAACTCAATGAAAGAACATTCTTCACAACAGGTCACTTTGAGGGATCAAACGCCACAGTGAAGGTCAGGCTACATAAACTGCATGTGGATAAACAGGTCCGAGTAGATTAGCAGACCTAGATGTGCAAAGAAGGATAGCAGAATTTATGCCCTAGTCTTTTTACCACTGCAGAACAGCATTGCCTTGACGTGACATTTCTCTGCATACTCCAGGAGTTTCTCTGGTTGTTAAAGTCAGCATCTCAGAAAGATACTTGCTTAATCTTAAACCTCCATGACTAAACATACCCTGCTATGACTCTAGTTGTATGCATGAAGTGCCAATCATGGTCTACGAGGGCAGAAAGTAATAAAGAACATCTATGAAACCAGCCAGGGCAATCTGCCTCCCATTCTCATGTCTGCTGTTCACGCCTCAGGCTACTTCTGCTCTGCTACAGCAGCACCTTTTCAAAAGAGATAAAGCTTTCTGGGAACTATTGTTACAGATGCAACAGCAACCTGCCTTTGAAGCACTGCGGCTTAACAATCCCTGGTCTCATAGATCTCATACTTAACTCTTTCCACTTAGCTGGAAAGCAAGTAACTTTCTCCATCACTTTCTAGCCCAGGTTAAGTCCAAACCTTACACATGGCAGATGAACACAGAACACTGGGGAAATGGATAACAGTAACCCAGAGTCAGTTTGGGTTTGAGCAGACTGACTCTCTTGAAGAAAGCAGATGGTTTCTTCATCTTCAAGGAAATTTCTGACAGTCACCTTCAAATTCTCCACAATCCCCTCAACTATATTCTTGCAAGGTCTCATTATGAGGAAGCTTCTCCAGATACAGAGAATTCAGTCATATAAGAAAATTAGTTCATACAAAATGAGGTATTTCTGTGTACTGAGCTTCACAGAAGGAAATTATCTTTAAAAGCACATTAACAGTTTACAGTCAACAGCAAGAGGGGAGTATGATGCCTGAGGGCATGAAAATCTGATCCATTTGCAGGTTTGCCTTTGGTGAGGAAACATAGGCTGAATGCACACAGTGTTCTGAAAAGCACGCATACAATGGGCAATAAGATTTGACAGCACAAAGACTAGAATATTCATATCAATGCCTAAGAGGTATCCAAAAGCTGAAAACCTGATTAAACCACCAAAAATATGCTGTGCTGGAAATTAGCCTGTCCAAATTAGATTCTTATTAAAAATTAATCATATTAGGCCTATTCATCATCCTCACAGACAACACAAAGAAGGCAGTATGAGAGCAGTAAAGGCCCTGGTTTGAATCCCAAGCTAGTTGCTTTTCAGAAATTGGAATTTCCTATTAGAAATAAGTCTTTATACACAGATTCCAACAGATTCATCTCTGGTAGTGAAGGGGTGGTTACCATAGCACCTGACCAATTTGCTTATTTGTAATTCACCTTCTGTTATGGTGAAATGCTAGTGTAAAATGGTCTAGAAGGTAAAAAATAGCTGAATAATGAAAAACACCTATCACCAAATGATACTAAGGGAACTACCATTTTGTTGGTATTTCCCAAATGAAGGTCATCCACAAGCTCAAAAGTACAGCCTTCTCAACAACTACTGGCTTTTAAGGCACAGAAGATTAATATTAGATTAGCCATAACATTTCCCACCTGGATTTACAGGAAAGTGGGAAAAGCCAACAGCATTTGATCAGTTTCTGATACAAACGTATGCTAATAGTTCATGATCCTGTTTACAGAAGTGAGACACAGTAAGAATGTTTGAGAGAGAAGTTGTCTTGAAATGTTACAGTGCTTCAGGAGGAGGCAGTGAAATTTAAGGTCTCAAGAGTTTAATCTTTCGGTTGTCATTTCTTTTATAGGCAAAGCCTCCAGGTGTTCATGTCTCAGCCCAGCCCTTTGGGACAAAATCCTATACCACAGACAGCACCAAACCATCTTCTCGTGTCTAAGCTACACCTACACTGACAGAGAATTTATTTTCAGTAATTAACTGTGCCCCAAAGGACATGAATACTAGTAGTAGTGAAGGTACAGCAACACTAGCTTGAGCATGACACATCTAGAATATATACACAGTAGCTGCAGCCCATGACAATACAGCTTTACTTCCAGAAGTACCAGAGATGCCTAAATCATCTTGTGCTCAGGGAAATACGTACACGACATTCACAGAGTCAAGTGTATGCCAGTTCCTATGGGGCTATGTCTAACATGCAGGCACTGCCAATGCTGTATTGTACTCGTTTGTGAATAAGCTGAAAATTCAGTCTCCAAGAGCTGATGTTTTCCGCAGCATTAAGGTCCCTTGGTTGTAAAGCAAACAAACCTACGTATGAACAAGTAAACAACACAACAGACTGGAGAGCTCCTACTGATAGCTCAGGGAACAAGTGAAAAGTGTTCTGAACCATTTATGGTTCACAGTGATTTGGAATGTTCTGGTTTGTAGTTTTTCTTGTTTTGGAGGGGTTACATTACAAACTTGCGTTAAGTAGAACATAAACTCTTACAATATAAAATATGTTTGATAACAAGAACTATGCTTTTCTCAAACACAGATGGAAGAACATATGCAAAGGAAACTCCTAGGAGTGTGTTACTGGACATCTGTTATTCTTGGAACAAAAAACCAATCATTTTTCTCTCCACCAACCGTTCAACCAGAGAAAAGTATTTATTTGCAGTGCCACCTGCTGACAGAGTGCAGGTCTGTGCATGGAACCTGAGGTACAGACCACGCTGCTACCAATGCTCAGTTCATCAGCGCCTCGCAACCAAGACCAGGATGATTCCCAGGAGAACCATCACCAGAACCCCTAGTGCACCATTCTGAAAGTTTACTTCCAAGTCATTTGCACTTATTTACCTGTCACTGCTAAATTGATTGGATAATTTACCCTCCTTTTACAAACTGGTCCTGCCTCTAAAGCAATAAGGCTGAAGTACTGTTGGGATTTCATTGCTTTTTACTATTAGTGGCAGTGCCATGGCAGTGACCCAGCACACTTGAAGAGTATGTATTAAAGGATGCTCATGGATTTAATTGGATTGTGGATATGGTAATTAGCTAAAAAGTAACACACATTTTAGAAGTCTATTAAGGTCCATACCTTTTTCTCTCACTTTTCCAAGCAGAGCGTACTGTGGAATAGAAGAATGCACTGGGTGGGTCAGAAAGGGTTAAAAAAGAATGCATATGATATTTTTAAAGATAGCTACAACAACCAAACACCAAGACCCAGCACCAATTCTTCTCAAAACAGATGAAAAAGAATGGCATTTTATTACATTCTGAATATTTAAACAACACAACTACAGTCTGGTGAGAGAGTCAAACAATTTTTCAGGAAGGTGGGAGTGTATTTAACATAGCACGGAACAAAATGCTCCTTTGAAGGATTTGGATATAACAGGCCTGATGGACTAAAAAGATTTCAGGGACAATGAACCTGGTGAAGTACCACACCCCACACACTGCATTGCAGCTTCCTCAGCCCTTTTAAACTCAGTAGAAAATGCAGGGAAAGGGCTTATGGTTCTACCATATTTACTATTCAGAGATCTCTTCTGACATTGCAGAGGTATGTAATTGTTTTGAAGTTTATTCCAGAATGTAACAAACAAAAGCAGTTCATCCAAACTATGTCTGATCTCACACTGAAGACGTCATCCCCAGCACCCGAGTGGGATTTTAAACAACCTGGTAGGTATGAAAAAGTAAAGAATGCCATGGTGACAACACCCAACAAGTCATACTATTTTGAGAGGAAAAGCAATCTACCTCATCCACAAAGAGGGGAAGTTCTTCTGGCAGAATCCAGGATCGAGGATAGAAGTTATATTCAAGAGGAAATAGATCCTGCATAGTTCTCACTGCCCGACTCAGGGTAACTTTTCGTACCATCTCTGTCATACCTGGGAAAAGAACACACAGTGTCTAAAAGCCATGGAAAACCTGCACTGAAGTCTCATCCTCAAAGTAAATTGTTATACTATTACTCATGCTACTGGTAAGGCACTCTAGTCATTGCTTTAATAAAGTTGAAAAGCTTTTAAAAGGTAAAAGCTGACAAAATATTTGGACCATTCCCCTGCGGTATTTCATATTATAGGTATTACTCTATCACATTAGAAAAAAAATCAATTAACAAAAATACAGCACACAATAAAAGAGGGAAAGCTTTAGTCAAACAGTAACTATCTTTGCCATAATCCAAATAATGGCCCTAGCCTGCTATCATTCCAGAAACAGGCAAAAGATGTCATTTAAATATAACCAACCACTCTGTGTGTACTTCGCATTCATTTAAGTAACTATGTCAGAAAGAACAGAACATTGTGAGGAGCTCAACTTTGCTGTTTTCCTGCAGCTTTGAAACGTTCCTGGGAATTAGGTCTAGTTCTGAAGGACTGGGTTTGACAGCTGTGCAGGGCATTTGCTACCAGGTAGAAGCCGGAATACACAGAGGGTGACATTCATCTAACACAGATTTAAACCACCAGAAAACTACACTGTCCACGACTTGAGTATGAACTTCTCACAGACAGGAGAAAGTCAGGGTAAATAAAAGCATAAATTTCTGTATCTGAGGGCTCTTATTCTCACAGCATACAAAAAGCAGCAATAAATCTAAAGTAAAGGGCTTAGATAAGTCAGTACCTAAGGTCTTAGCTCTTACTTAGAGACATCTCAACAGGGATTAAACAAGAGGGAAAAATAAATAAAAGAGCTTAAAAAAGTTGAAGAGTCATCATCAAACGAGGGCTGCCATGAACTCTTCAATATTAAAAAATCCATTTGAGGAACTTCGCTTTGAGCTTCTCCCTAAGATAGGCCACAGGAAGAAACAGAACAGATTCTTCACACTTTGAATCAAAACCAAACCCAAAGACACAGTTATCAATGCTACAGAACTGACAATAATCACAGACTTCACTTAAATTATAGCCCAACACTTATTTTTCCTGAATTCATACATATGAAGTATTCTTTTCATCAAAAACACTTTCTCTCCAAAACAAATCTTAGATAAGTGGCAGTGTGCACTTGCAGCCCAGAAAGCAACCGTATCCTGGGCTGCATCAAAAGGAGCGTGACCAGCAGGTTGAAGGAGGTGATCCTGCCCCTCTACTCTGCTCTTGTGAGACCTCACCTGGAGTATTGTGTGCAGTTCTGGTGTCCTCAACATAAAAAGGACATGGAACTGTTGGAACAAGTCCAGAGAAGGGCCACGAGGATGATCAGGGGCTGGAGCACCTCCCGCATGAGGACAGGCTGAGGAAGTTGGGGCTGTTCAGCCTGAAGAAGAGAAGGCTGCATGGAGACCTCAGAGCAGCTTCCAGTGTCTGAAGGGGGCCTATAGGGATGCTGGAGAGGGACTCTTCATTAGAGACTGTAGTGATAGGACAAGGGGTAACGGGTTAAAACTTAAACAGGGGAAGTTTAGCTTGGATATAAGAAGGAAATTCTTTCCTGTTAGGGTGGTGAGGCACTGGAATGGGTTGCCCAGGGAGGTTGTGAATGCTCCATCCCTGGCAGTGCTCAAGACCAGGTTGGACGAGGCTTGGGTGATATGGTTTAGTGTAAGGTGTCCCTGTCCATGGCACGGGGGTTGGAACTAGATGATCTTAAGGTCCTTTCCAACCCTAACGATTCTATGATTCTATAAAAAATTGTTAGACACCCATCCTGATAGTCCTACCCCCTGAGCAGAAATCACCTACCAAAAACCAGTAATATGCTGAAAATACTATCAGCTGCTTAGGCAGATAGTTCACATTAAAAAACAGCAAAGCACAGAAATGGTTAAAATAATCGTATTTTTAAAGCATTTGTTTAAACTAGAAACAGAAGCAAGGTACCTGGAAACTTGTTGACTTGACCTGAGAATATATTATTGTCATGAAATGATACCCCATGCCAATAGATATCACACGGCAAGCGTCTGCCAAAAGGATACTGGAAAAGAGACAGAAGACAAGTTTTGAAGCAATCTGGCAATATCCATTCATTCCTTACTTTTCTAAATGCTCATATTAAACAGAAATCATTCAAGAACAGTCTTTTGACTGTCAGACGAAAATACACTCTGTATTTTGGTTGCAAAACTAAGAATATTTTGATGGGTTCAACACTCTCAAGTTCAAGATGTTAACAAGCCAGGAAAGGTTTCCAGAAACTAAAAACAAATGACTGAGAGGCATAATGTGTATGGAGAAACTCCGAGCTTGTTATCAACCACAATTAAGGCATGACTCATTTGTAATTTAAAATACTATTACAGGGAATAAAATTTCATTAAGCAGCACTTAATTCCGGCACATGAAGACGCAGCGAGAGCGAGTGCTACAGCTGGGAAGTAAACACACTCTGATGGAGTTTGGGGTTGGGTTTTTTCCTCCTCAGTTTAAGGGGTGATAAACAACCATCCAGGGAAAAAAACAGGAGAGATGCTGGAGAAACTGTCATTACTGGCAGTTACTAGATCAACTCCTGCTCTTCTAAAGATCACCAGAGCCCCATGACTTGCCTTTATTGCTCTGTCACTGCAAGCTGGCCACCCACATCCCTTTCCCAGAGATCACCCATTCCCATGGTCACCCTCAACCACATAACATTTCCATGTGCTCCCTTTCCAGTCTCACACGAGCATGAAGCATTTCTGCTCCCTAGTACTTCATTTCAGGGAATACCTGGAGTTAGTAGGATTGCTGTAACTTACTATTAAGTTGTCACTGCAAAGCACTTCCTGAGCAAGCTGATTTAGTAGTGTCCAATAAATTCAAAATGGATATTCAAAGATACTTAAGTGAAATAAGTGTATTATTCATTTATATATATTTGGTTATATGGATTCATTTCTACATTCTTTTCTGGTACCAGCAGCTGTAATTAAAAGAAAAGCTTGCGATTCAGTTAATGGTTTGTTGAACATAAATATTTCAACTACTGAGAACAAAGGCAATTATTTCAGCAATATTAATTCCAGCTTCTTTTCCCATTCATACAAGATCTCACCATAAATTGGAAAACTATAGAGTTTCCTATTATCAAAGATCAACCTATTTTAAAGCAGCCTGAAGAGCTCTGGAACAGCACTGCCAATTACCAATAGCAACAGTTCCTAATACTAGTAAAGTGGGTTTAAATTAAGACTACCAGCAGTAAGAACAAAAAGCCCCATGAATTAGCAGTATCAACAGTTCAGAGCAAAAAAAAAGAAACCCAAGTTAAAATCCAAGCATTTGTAAACCATGTTAAAAAGTTTTATGTAAAAAAAAGGACTCTTTTATGCTTGTTCTCTCAGACACAGACCCACTTATCAGTCAAAAACACCACCCATTTTATCTTCAACTCCATGTAGATAGTTTTAACACCATATGGAATACACTCACAGGAATCCCTTCTATTATTAGGCTGCATCCTTTTCAAATTAACATGCTGTATCTCTGACCACAGCATTTTTAAGACACTTTTGTATTACACATCAATCACCCAACGACTTCAGTACCATTTACTTACAGAAAGAACCATCCTATTTTGCAGAAGCATCTTATTCTTTACTCCAAATGGCATTTTTCTTCCTTTAAAACATTTCTTTAAGCACTGGATTTTTTTTTTCCCTTCAATATGACAGGGAAAAATAAAAGACTCTCATAATGCTTTTGAGGGAATTATTTTATTTGCTATTTTAATTAAAATTTCAGTTTCCTCAGTAAATAGCCTTGAAAAATTTAATTTCAAATGCTAATTGAGCAATGCATCCTTCCTCTGTTTCCTCACTCATAGGGATGAGATACCAAATTTCACAGAGCCAGTGGATTCCTCACTTATTTCATTATTATTCAGCCTGCAAAATCCGGTTTTCTACAAGTGAAAATTAATTCTGTTAGGCTCCAAAAGACAATCAGTGGCCTCAACCTCTCTCTGCAGGTATAGCCAGAATACAGATGCAGCGTTGGGTCTCCAAGCGCCCTTCCCACTAAAACCTGAGCAATTTATTTATTTATTAAATGAAATTGAAATGAAAGGAATTGAATTTGCATTTATATAACACCTTTCATCTATGGAGGATATCAAAGCACTTTATAAACACCACACAGAAATCATTTCACAACAGATGAAGAGCGAGCAGCTATGGACTGGAAAATGGAAGCACTGCACACCCACACCAGCAGTTCAGATAGCACAGCAACTTCCCTGCTCCTGACTAATCAAGATTATTTGGATTTATCCAACAAGGAGATCAAATTCAACTCCTGAATGAGCTGGAAAAGATTCTTTATTATCTGCACTAAACTTGTACTTAAGAATAGTGTTTGGAAATGAACGAGGAAGTTCAATTATTTGGGTCCCTCTGGCAGCACTAGGCAGATAGAAGTTAATCTGATTTTGCTAGAAGAGCCCTTCCTGCTGCCTCCCAGCTCCTGGGGCAGGGGACTAGCTAAAAGGAAAGGTGGGCAATGGAAGTAACTTCCATCTCATCTACCTTGTAGCAGCTGGAATAGCCTCAGATCTGCACTAACCAATGCCAAAGCAAAGGTGCTTACAGCCACAGAGGGATGGAGGTCAGGAATGTGACTGGAGCCATCCTTGCCACTGAATGACTGCTCTGTGCAGAAAACCAGAGTCCATCCCTAGGATCAATCACTGCAAACAACTTTCAGGTTGCAGTCAATTCACTAACTCTTTGAACAATTCATTTTAAATCTTTTTCTATTCAGATTCGGGGTGTATTTGGAGGAACAAACAAGGAGCCACAAAGAGCTTTGTTTCCAAAGTTGTTCCCATCACTTTGACACAATTAATAATCCTTCATGGTCAAATTTGTCTGACAGGTCATTCCTACCTTTTGATTAGAAGCCAATCATTTAAATTGTCTCACGGGTCACATCAGTCTGTTCCATCATGTTTAATGACAAGTTAAATGACTCATCTTCTAGTCAGCTTGTCCCAGCGTAAAATTTCAACTTATTTCTACGCCTCCATCCAGCTACTGAACAGTGAGACAAATGAAACGCTTAATGCTGGGATATTTGATGCCCGAGACATCTGCTTCTTCCACTTCCCTGGTAATTGAAAGCTAGGTGAAGAAATAATTTATTAAGTGATGAATAAACTCAGGATGCAAGCTCAATTTGTGCCCATTATTTCATTTGGCATATCATGTTCATTTAAAGAACGTGACACACTGAATCAGATAGTCCAATCTAGTGAGGGGAGTAATTGCTTCACTGGCACACACATCAGAGTCCTGCAATGCTTTTTAAAAGGTCCCCCCTGTGTGTTACTCCAGACAGGGCTATCATGGGTGATAATTTAATTTACTTAGAATTGCCACAACTGAAAAAAAGGAGGCTTTTTCCTGTCTTTTGCTTCCAATAACAGAACTTCAATAGTTAAATTGGTCTGTTGGATGCTTTCATTCTTCCCCATCTACCAGTGCAATAGAATAAACTGTGCTCATCAATATTAGCCATGTTGTGAGTATTCTTCCTCTTTTTTTTGTCTTCTAATGGCATTTCCCATATGCCAGTTTACTAAAATGAACTACTACCATGTGGACAATTCTGTAATCACACAGTGCATTATGACTTAGTTCTATGCATTATCAGGGAGCATACTGCAGTAACAGGCTATTACTGAAACAAAGCTCTTCTGGCAAGTGAGGGTAACTACAGCGAGGAGATTTCAGAACATACAACTTGAAACAAAAAGCAAAGCAAACCAAAAGGCTGTATGAGTCTGTAATACTATGCATTAGACAAAGTTATCAACAAAAATGAGACCACTTTAAAAAGCCTGTGATAGCATCTCCTGCCCAACAAAATATTCAAGCCAGCACATCCAGCAGCAAGCATAGAGAAGAACAGAAACAAAGCAATGGGGAAAAAAACTGTAAAAGAAGTGACAAGGGAGAAGGATCAAATACACTAAATCGAAGTCCAAGGTGCAATCACCTTGCAAAGTATTATACAAGGGGTGAGAGTAGAATACCAGCCCCTGCAACATCAGTATTTAAAATACACCCATTTCATTATTAGTTCCAAGACTATTTCTTTCTGCATTATTTGTATGGATCCCACAAGAAACAACATCTGTGTTCCCTCTGCTGGGCCTGCTGTAACAGTGCACCGATTTTCAAGGCTCTTTGGTCATCGCTGACAGCTGACAGTGTCAACACTGACACTGAAACAAGTATCTTAGTGCTGTTTTTCTAAACATTTGAAAGGGAGAGCTTTCAAAATTATACATAACTTGAAGAAAAGAGGTTTTCTTGGATTTTCCTCATCTTAATGGTATTTTTCCCTTCAAATCTAGACAAGATCTTGCTTACTGATTCCCTGTGCCTACTGACGTCTGCAAGCTTGAGGTCAACACTTTGTCTTGCTCCCATCCCAGAAGACTTTCACCTTCATATTTTCCACAGTGTCAGCAGTACCAGTGAAGAGTCACAGCTAATATCGTGTCCCCTTTCCCTACTCTTTCCCCTTCAGGGTGGGGGTGAGAAGGAAATAAAAAGAGAGAAAACTCATTGTCACACACACATAGGTACAAGAAAGTATTTCCTTGATAAAAAGTAACATCACATTCACACTTATCAACCTATTTATAAGCTGAATACATTACAGCGACTTGTTCACAGGGAATGAATTATGGGCCATCTAGATGGTAAAGTCAAGCATCACAAAATTCCATATTAAGTCTCTTCTTTACTCAAAGGGGCCAGAAGAGGAAGCAACAGACTAAATGAAAAATATCGACTGAACTAATGAATGGAAGAGAAAGAATATTGAAGGAGGCAGTAAGCAAAGAAAGATGAAGTAAAGGCAAAAGCAATTGCTGTTGGGGGATGCAGAGCAGGAAGGAGGATGTTGATTAACACAGTGCAGAAATTCAAGAGAGGAACAAGAGCATGTGAAACATGATTTGTAGAACAGAATATCAAGTGCCAGGCAGATATGCACAACAGTAAAATCGCAGGAAATAGACAAGGCAAAATTAACCAGCAAGAATGGCTCATTACCAGTGTAATCTGCGAGGCTAACTTATATCAGCAATTCAGCAACAGTCCCTGCAATGGCACCAGGAGCTCTGAAAATAAAACTTAACCATAAGAACAGAGAAATTAGGTGTGATGTCCCCCTTGCTCTGTATGTCACCAGCTAAAACACAGCGCAAGGCTGCTGACAGACACTGCACAGGGGCACTGAGGAGTAAGAGAGTAACAGGCTTTAATTTCACGCCTCTGGAGTTTCCTTATGACTTTGCTGCAAGAGCAGGAGTTGAGAACTGGAGCATTTGTGCAATGAGATTGTGACATTCTCCCACTGGATTTAAATACTAAAAATGTTGAAATTAAATTTTATGCAGCCAGAGGATGAGGAAGCGTTACTCTTCCTGGCAATGAGCATAAATGTCTTTGTGGTATTAAGTATTTAGAATGTTATAAATAAACACAGGTAATATTTACTGCCACCCCATCCTCCTTAAATTTCTATAAAATTATTAGGGAAAGAAAATCATTACAATTTAAGAACAAATTAGCATCTATAATAAGATATATATATTAGAAATCTCTTCAGGATTTAAATAAAGAGTTCCAAGACATCATCTTTGTGCCAGCTCCCATATTGCCATGACTCTGGTTCAGCAAAGACAGGCAGGCACTGAACTCCTCACACAGAACAGAGAAAACAGATGACTCAAGCTGCAGGGGGAGGTGGGGGGAGGCTATACTTTCTCTGCACGCACTGATTTAGAAGTGTAAAGCCTGTTATGTATGCTTTGTTAAGTGGTTTAATATTCATTCATACACAATGCTCTTTGACATGCCTTCTAGATAACCTGTGACGCAGAGGCTTTGCCACCAGATCAAACAGCTGATGTATCAGGTAATATCCAAGAGATGCCTGCTGTCATAAGCCTTATTTCACATACCCTTACTATGAGGGAAGGGTGTACAGAAAGATGCAAAGTAACATAACAGTATGTTTTCTCCATATATATATATGTATATATATATATAAGCAGTACAATTTCTCCATAGCAGTAGGTTTTTTTGCCCTTTCCAGCAACCAGTTTAAGCTTTGAAGCATAATATCCGATTACCCCTATTCTGGCTTGCATAACTGACGATGGCAGCTTTGATCATTAATCAAACCAGCCTCCAGATTTGAAATCTAATTAGAAATAACTCCATGGTGGAGGTTACACCAACCGGGATGACCCCTCGCTGTAAGAGCCTGCTCTGGAGAGGAGGCCACGGCGGGCCGGCAGAGCAGCGGTGGGCCCTGTAGGAGTCGGCGGGGAAGGGGGCAGCGGCCCGGGCTGAGGCCCAGGAGGCCCCCGAGGGCCGGTCGGGCGCTCACCTCCCTCCAGTGGAGCTGCCGTAGGCTGATCTTCAGCGCCTCCAGCGAGGTCTTGGCCTTGGAGCTGTCCACCGTGACGCGGGGCCGCCGGGCGGCTCGGCCCCCCTCCTCCCCTCCGCGCCGGCCCGGGGCCCGCCGCCCCCTGCCCCGCACCGCCCGCCCGGGTGGGCCTTTCTGGCCGGCACCGCGGCGACACCGCCCCCGGCAGGCAGCGGACGGCAGGGGCCCATCTGCCGGCGGCGCCCCGGCGGGGTGGCCTCCCTGCGGCTCCTCGGCGGGCAGCGCCGGGGACCCGGGGGGCTCCTCCGCCTCCCGGGCCGGCTCCATCCCGCGGCGCTGCCTCCGCTGGGCCGCCGCCCCCGCCCGTTGCCATGAGAGCGGCGCGGCCGACGGGGCGCGCGAGGGGCCAATCCCGCGAGGCCTCTGACCCCGCTCGCCCCGCCCGCTGCGGCCGCCTCCGCCATTTTGAGTGCGGGCAGCGCCGCCGGGCTCTGCCGGGGAGGCCATTTCGGAACGGAGCGCGGCCGCCATCTTGGAAGCGGGAAAGCACCGCGCTATGGCGGTGGTGCCTGAGGCGGGCGGTGCGGCTCTGGCAACCCCCGTCCTTGCACCGAAACCCCTGCCCGCTGGTTCAGAAGTTAAATCAATGCCTTATCGTGTGATGGGGTGATGTTCATGTGAGGTGGAAGCCGTTACTCCAAGACAAAGCGTTGCTTCTCTGCTTCGGGCTCGCTCAGCTCATCAGTTTCCTCACACTTGGCCCGTAATGACCAATTTAACACCGTGGACTAATGTCTACCGCGTGGTTGGACGAGTTTCTCTATCTTCTTGTAATTATTCTTAGTGAGAAGCCCACGCCAGGGTGAGCAGAGCAGCACTGGGTTCCTCGTTCCAAGGGGGCATGTAAGGCACGGGCCCTGGGCCTCCAGACCCTGTGGGTGTGCTGGAAACGCCTCCGCAGGCAGGTGCTTCCACTCTGAGTGCAATTACTCTGTTCGTAATAGAGTACATTTGTTTACTCTAATAGAGTGCCTTTGTGTACTTGTAATGGAGCTGATTGCAGAGCTCCGGTAAACACCAAGCTGCTAGCATCACTTCAGTCTCTGGATTTACACGCTCTTACATTGCCCAAGTGAGGCAAACGCCCAGCCAGAAAACACAAAACCTGTTTTTACAGTGTAAAACAGAATGAGGCTTCTTACCAGCAGCAGCGTGAGCCCTCGGCGCTAGTGAAGAGCTGATGGAATGGAGAAGAGGGGAGCGCGGCCGCCTGGAGGGCAGCAGGAGCAGGTTTGTGGCACTGAGGAAGCGCGGGCAGGCGGTGGCGCTGGACGCTGGGAAATGCAGCCTGGCTGTGAGGAACGCCGAGGAGAGAGGCTTGGGAAGGGGGGAAAGGGCAGGAATAACGAGGATGCTGTGTGAAGGAGCTGTCACTGGAGCCGCGCTCCTGATCCGGAGCAGGACCGCAACAGGACAGCAGAAGAAAGCGTTTAAATGAAAGGAAAAGTTAAATAAATGCAGCAAAAAGTGAAAGGGCATGTCCTGGCTAAACTCCTTCCTGCAGAATTCCTGGGACTAGGAGGAGATGTGAACAGATCTTCCCTGCTCCATGAAGCTTTAGGAACATCGGGATTAACTTCTCATTCTCTCCTCATGCCGAGCCATGAGACACGATGTGCTGGTATCTGTGGTTCTGTGCACATGGATCCTTCTCCACGAGTCACCAGTAGTTTATAAAGAAGGTTTCACCGCCAAGATACTGTCTCATTTCAACAGCAAACCAGAGCTTCACCCACAAGCCTAACACCGCCCATAGTTTTCAGGGCATCACCCAGCTTCCTCCACTCACCCGTCCAGGCAACAAAAAGACCAATGAACTACAGTGGAGTGCCCAGGAAGGCTGAGGTCACATAGCTGGCTCTCGGTTGCTCTCAGGTTGCTATTAAATGATGTGCAGTGGTTTTTTTATAGCTGAGACGGTTCATCATTAAAAACTTGGGAGTGTTTCCCCATGCAAGCAGGAGCTCGGAGGAGCCAGTGACTTTGGCAAGGGTGAGCTGCACTGGTGCTGCCTTTTCTGCATCCATCACCGAGGGCACAGCCTGGTTGTCTCCCAGCCACCACCGGATGCTGGTGTCCGCCACCAGAGTGGTGGATTTAAAATGATGCCCTGACTCTGACTGTCACCTCCAGGCCTCTGGATGAGCACTTCTTAACAGACATTAGAGATTCATCCTCACCAATGTCAGCAGTGCAAAAGGAAGCCAGAGAAACAGCTAAGATGGGCCGTGGCATTGAGAGGCTTTGGTATATAGGAAATACCAAACAAAATGATTGCAAAAGGTAAATATTTTTATATCTAATTATGATATAGCCACATTTCTTACAGGTTAATAAGGTACTAGTTGTTTCTCTACCAGAGAAGCTGCAATATACCAGATACTTGGTTTGCACTGTACTGTATGGGTAAAGCCTTCATTTCATGTTGAGATAAATAGAGATGGTCTGCAGTGTGCAGCATGAAGTGAGACTGCACGTGGTATTCAGGTACAGCAAGGTAGGGGAGTAAAATATAGGTTGAGCAGTAATAAAGGAGCAAGGTAATACAGAAGGCAAGTGTATCCTGCTGAATACTGCAAGCTGGATCTAGCAGCAGGAGAGAAATAGGAAACATCTGTCCCCTGTGAGGAGAAGGGAAATTTAAAGTTACTGTGTGCTCTTAAACACAAGCCTATTTCCTGAGAGCCTGGCTCAGAGGGAGTTGTTAATGAGAACAAATTGTTAGCTGGTGATAATAAATGACCAAAGATGTGTGTTCTGTCAAGAACCGTGCGTCTGTTAAAGCTATGCTGGGGAAAAACAGCAATGTTTGCTTCTTCTGAATCATCTTTCAGCATTACAGTGGTGATGGTGTTTGTAGGCAGGACAGAACAAGGTGTGTGCTCCTACACAGGAAGGTATCTGATGAATATCAGTGTACATGTACAGTTGTTGGCACGGTATCACATACCCTCAAGAAATACCTCAATTCCAACCTCACAGTATTCTGGCCTTGTAAGAGCTGTGATCTGTCTCCTCATGTAGTGTCCCTATATTTCCATTAGCTAAATTCAGGATATGAAATCTAGCAGAGGTGCTAGTCTGATTTTATGGGAATTGGGAAGGATACTGTACAGTATTTTACTCATCTCTTAAGTCAACAACTTCACTCTTATTCATCCTAAATCAAAACTTCCTGGGTCATTACACCAGGACATGGTTAATCTGATGCGTGTGCAGATACACACCTTGCCATGATGTGCATTGTACTGTCAGATCCAAGGGGAGTTTGGTAATAAAGCAGTTATACAGCTGCAGAGCACCAATGGAGTACCACTACAGACATCAACCTGTTTGCCTGAACTGTGCTAGCAGACACTCCGCATGTATTTGCGGGAACATCCTCACTGAAAACCTCATTCTAAGAATTACACCTTCCCAGACAAGTAAACTGAGCAGTTTGAGTTTCACATCAGGGTAACAACCTGATCCACACAACTCAACTGAAGGGGAACGGCACTGCCAACCCGTGGTGTACAGAATTCAGGAGTTAGACTTGGGAAGTCAACGAGCTTTTGAATTTAGTAAAAACCATTTTTCTTAAATAATAAATGTGCCCGCTTTTTTGGTTACTGAGGCAGAATTTGTAGCTTTTATCTAGCATCACAAGGACAATAAACGTATTTCCTTCTGTATTTTTCTTTTAAGATAGCCAAGACAAGAAAAACTAAGTAGCATGTAATGTGCAAAAAGAACATGCAATCTCTTTAAAATCATTTAACACTGGCCTCCTGCCAGTGGCAAAAGAAAAACTATTTGCAGAAACACTTTAATGTATTTCTGAAAAAAGAACACACTTCTCAAGCTATCGCTGTAAAAGTTACTCATTGAGAACCATCCATCTGTGTCTGAAGTTAATAGTTCCTTTTGCAATGATGGCGAGTATCTTCCATCAGTTGTGCTTTCACAAATCATTAAGCAACCAATGCTTTATAAAATGAAAAGTCAGAAGAAAACATATCGAGTAAACAGACTCCACTTGGAAAACGTCCATGGTGGTGCTGTGCTTCAGACCAGGTTTAAATCTATATACATCAACCTATGCTTCCACTGCTTATGTTAGACCACTGAAGATTTGTGGTTGACCTACATATGCAAACAAAACATTTGCTGCACACTTGGGGCAGGGGGATTTACATGATAGAAGATGATGAAAATATGCATAATTGTGGATGACATTTTTCATTCCCGAGTCCTGCTGCACAGAGCTTTGGAACTGGCCATGCATGAAAGAGGCTTGCAACCCTAACAGGCAGGCTGCCTGGCCATGCTGCTGAGCTGAACCTTCAAGACATTAAGCTTCTGTTTCTTCTTGAGCAACACAAATCTGACACAACCATCTAACCCAGCAGACCCTGTATTTGCAAAGGACACATATAACACTGAGGGGGCTGAAACAAGGACAGTTCCACAGTCAGGAACGAGTTGGTGCCCCCGGGCTTGCTTGTTTAAACAAAGATGTTAATTTATCACCTAGTGATCACAAGTGATAGTTATCTGATGTAAAGCAAACAAGAGGCACTGCAGGTCAAAACACACACATGAACTACTTCAACTTTAGTTTGCTAAATCACTTACACAGAAAAGTTCAGATTTGGCAACGGTTGGGGTTTCTGATTTGTTCCTATTTTTCCAGTTAAATGGAAGCTCAAGATCAATTCATTTAAATTAAGGTTGGGCAGCCACATACTGGGGAACGTAACTCTTTACCTCCCCTTGCTTCCAGATCTTTTTTTCACTAGGGGAGAGCACAGCTTCCTAGAACAGGAGGAGAAACATGTACAGAACCCTCTGACTTTGCAGGAGCTTCATATGACAACATTTCATGGTTGTGGAGATCTCGTGACATGCTGTTCCCCTAAGTCTGCATCTTAACTTTTGATCACTGATTGTCTTAAGGTACCAAAAAAACCTAACAGATTTTGTTCTCTTCTAGTACTGCTTAATTTTCCTTCCTTGAGTAAAGCAATTGTAAGGGAAGCAGAATGTGTCTGAAATTCTGGAAATCCTGAAGAATGGCAAGTGGATTCAGCTGCTAAGTCTCAAAGGGACGTCCACTGGCACACTGCAAAGCTGCTAGCATGACAGCACACTGGAGGCTTTACTCTACGAATTGCACCAGCACAAATAAGTATTAATAACATTGATAAAGTTGCATGACAAAACCAGATCTGCTAAGGTAGTAAGCATGCACACATCTCTCAGATATTGAAAGTATGATACGGAAGTGATTTCCTGTAACAGAGGTTTTGTCTGCTATTACTGGATGTCTGTCTCATCATTCTTGCTATGTCACATCTTATTTGTCACTCAAAATCTTTGCAGCTCTGCTGTGCTGAAATAAGTGCAGAAAGGGGGAAAATTCCTTGGCATCAAGACCAGATCTCCTCTGGAAAGCACGCACCGCCTCTGCAACTCCTTTATCTGAGTTGTGAAGGTGGGTTTGGAAGAAACCTGACAGCATCAGATGGAGCAACAGGTACCTTTCCTGCAAGCCAACTGACAAAATGATTAAAGAACAGCTTGTATATAATACCCACTGTCCAATTTACACCCCATTCAAGGTCTGTAAAATATACATCTGTGTAAGAGGGATTTCCATGCAGAGTAAATGTCAATGCAGTCACAAATGTGCATCCACGTGAGAGAAAGAGAAGAAATCTCGGTAGCCTGCGCCTGAAAAAGCAAGCTGATACAAACCTGTTCTCTGCAAAAACACTTGAAGCTATGTGCCAAGAAGCTGTCTTTGGTGCTTCACTCCTACTGTGTTCAGAGAAATGGGACTTTCTATGTGTGTTCTGCACATCAAAGGAATAACTAGCACAGTCCCTCCATCTGATGCAAACACCCACTATGAAGTTTGGCTGTTTGCTTCAAGAAGGGATAATGCTGGTGGGGGTTTATACTAAATCCATGATGATGTACTGTGAAACTCTTTAATTCCACATATTTGGCCAGTTTTATTATCCAAAAGAAAAGGCACAGCTTTCTCACCTGCAGTGGAGTCCAAGCATTTTCTTTGTCTAACAAGCAAACTGGAAAGTTAACAGCTTTTTAAGTTCAACAGCCTTCAAACTCAATTCTCAAACACAGATCCAAACCATTAACCTTAGAAGAGCTAAGCCCTATGAAAAGTTCATGGAAGTTAATGAACATGGAATATTAAACACTTCCATTCAATTGTGATCTAACACGGTCTGGCACTGCAAGCTTTATTAAATCACAGTTGCCTTCTTTTTCTCAGGATTCCCATGAGATGTTCCTTTCCCCCTACCCAAAGGATTTTATAATCTGTGGGATACTGGAGAGCACCAGAGTAAAAATAAAAAGACCATTCTTGTTATTTCATCTGTCCTTTCTATGAGATTAAAAAATGTAACTACCCAAAGCAGAGCCCTTATGCTCCCACTTATATAGGAATGCTCTTGTGGGAATGGGAGGGTAACGAGGAGAAACTCTGAGCAGCTCAGCACCTGACAGGTTCATGCATGCCCCAGTTAAAATGCAGTATTGCAGAATCAATGGAGAGACTCACCAGTAGTGGCTGTGTTGGGGTTTTTACCCTCACTAGTTGAGCTTTGCTGGCCTTAGCATCAAAGGAAGTGCAAGGATAGGCTGACTGGGTGGCATCTCCTTCTCTTTGGGCTCAGGAGAACCAAAGACCCAAATCTTGCTCAGTCAGTCCAAGGACATTTGCACACAAAATCTAGGTTATTAATTCAGGTCAACAGATACTTTTAAATGAAGATTCATACAAGATAACAAAAGGAATGTTCTAAGTACATGCTAAACAGCATAAAGACCACACAAAATCACCAACAGAGAGCTAAACTGATGAATCTGCAGGCAAGATGTGTATCTAGACTAACATATTGGACAGAAACCAATGAATGTATTTACATACCTGAAACAACTCCTGTTTTGAGTTATGCTTTATAAAAGGGGTATCAGCATAAACATGGGAATATTTAAATGGAAGGTAATGCAATATTATATATTGGAAGGAAAAAAAAGAGAAGCCTGCCTGGAAACAAAACCTAGCAATGAGAGGAGGCTGACCACAGAACCTATCCCAGCTCAGGTGCCAGAATGAGCTGCTAATCCCACAAAGTACTTGAACATGTAGGGTCACAGCCAGTGAACCAAGAAAAATCCTTTGGGCTTTTCTCCCTCTCATAAGTTTCTGGATTTCTGGCTCTTGCCAGTCTCCCACTGACTTCCAAGTACTCAGAGATGCCATGAAACTCAGGACAATAATCCTCCTGAGACGGAGACAGGAAGCTGTGCACTGTCTGCCTGTGGCCACAATTTTCTCTCCTGGTAATGTGAAAGCCACATAAAAGGTGGTGTCCAACAACGTTCAAGCATACAGCTAGGAGTTATTTGTGTGACAAAAAGTTACAACTGATCACTCAAAAGTTAAATCAGGGGAACCCAGATAGGGTTGACTGAAGCACATATAAGCTTTGGCCCCTTGGATCCTACACAACTCACATTTCGGATCATTCCTGTAAATGGCAAAGAGCATGGCCATACTAACGTCAAAAGACAAGTCTTTGGGTCTCAACACCACCGCCGTGCATGTGCTTCATCCCTTACCTATGTCGGTGCCTGCTGAGACGAACGGCATGCTCAGGCACGGCGAGTATTCCAGAGCAGCACCTGCAAGGACTCCACACTGGGGGGGCCATGCCAATAAGATGAAGCTGGAAGAAAAGAAGACCCTGAGTGCACAGAGCACCCAAAATCCTGACAGCGTTGAGCCAGACAGTGTGCATCAGCTGTGCAACAGGCTTCTGACAGACCTTACATGTGAACCGCTTGCAGAACAGTCACATTAACACTGGACATATGCAACGGGTTTAGTCAACTATTCTTGTGCAGGAGCTGTGGTGAGATCCTAGATCATGGTGTACACTGTCCTCTAACACAGGAAATGGAGCAGGTGCTGCTGACCTGATGCAGCATCACTCACACTGTCCAAAACCACAAGTAATTCGATTAAGATGTGACTCCATCCATGGCCCCTGCACCGGGAGCACAGCACTGCACCCAAGGGAACACCACCTGCTCCAGGATACACCCGGACACTTCCCTGCTGTGTATTTACAACCGAGAACAAGGGCTTGGTACTTTTACACCCTGGGAAGTTAAGACATGGCATTGCTGCTCTGTATTAAAGCCATCAGGCCAGGACAGCCCCAGACACGCAGAGAGACAAACCCTCCACCAGCTCAACCTCAGCAGGGTGTTTCAGGCGCTCCCTGTCAAACCCACAGCGAACTTCCCCAGGCAAAACCTCCCTTGCAGGCTCTCTCCTCCCAGCGGGCCCAGCCCAATGCTGTAATCGCGGCTCCACCAGCCCCGCTCGGGGTGGCCGCACCCCGGCAGCCGGCCCATGGCCGATCTAACACGGGTCGGCTCCGGGCCCGGCCCCGGCCCCGGCCCCGGCCAGGCGGGACCTTCCTCCACAGCGGCCGGGCCGCGGCTGCCGGTGGGGCGGAGCTTCACCGCCCCCCCCCCCCCGCATCACGTGAGGGAACTTCGGGCCAATGGCGGCGCGGCGAGGGCCGGGGCCCCGCTCGCACCCGCGGACGCTCATTCAAAACGCGGCCGGGCTCGGGCAGCCCCGGACCCGAACCTGCGGCCGGGGCTCGGCGGGGCAGGGGGGCGCCGCCGCCGGGGATGCCCGGGGGGGCCGCGGGCTGAGGTGGCCCCCGCCCGCCCGCCGCCATGCCGGTGAAGAACCGGTACAACCTGGTGGACGATGGCTGCGACTCCCGCGTCCCGCTGCACAACGAGGAGGCCTTCCAGCACGGCATCCACTTCCAGGCCAAGGTGAGCCCCGGACGCGCTCCCCCAGCCCCGGGCAGCGGCGGGTACGGTGGGGACCTCAGTCTGGGGGTGCAGCGCGGCTCCCTACCCGGCTGTCAGAGCCCCTGGTCCCGTCCGGGCTCCGGGGGCCTCTTCGGCAGAGGCGCCCCGGGCAGCCCCTGCAGCGCTGGGCTCTCTGTGCCCTCGCCCGTTGCAGAACAGCCCCGGGCATTGGGTCCCTGCGGGCCGGTCCTAGGCACCTGCTGGCCATGGGCCGATAGCCCCATAGGCTCAGCCCGGGGCTCGCTGTGTCCCCTCCAGCCGTGCCCACCGTGCGTTCTTCAGCTCCACCGGTGCCAGGTGTAAGAAATTCTAAAGAAAACATCAATAAATTAGCAAAGCCTTACACTTTAGCACAATCAAACAGGTTCTTCTCCTAGTATTTTTCCATCAGTTTATCCTTATAAACTGCCTTGTGCGCTTCATTTGAGAACTGATCTGGAAAGACCCCTCTTGACAGTGCAATGGACACTGCCTGTGGTATGGACACTGCTCGACCTGGTGCCTGTCATCAGTTGGATAGGACCCTGTTCCTACTGCAGTGAGTGACAGCTCTGTATTCCCCTCGAAACCAGCAGGCTGTTATGTGCTGCTTAAAACCATGCTAGTGCCTTATTCCATCCAACCTGCTCATTGCATGGGAAGCTGTGCAGGTCCTCGTTTAAATGCAGTCTTCAGATATCAGAAACACTGAATAGTCATAAATTGATTCTATATTGATCATGAGCGGTCTGGCAGCATCACTCTCAGAAAGTGCCTCCATTGGAATTGACATTCTGGAGACAGTGCAGGGTTTATAATTCAGCTGACAAGAAGAACTGCGTTTTGCTGGAGCAACTCTAGGGTTCCTTTTCCCTCTTTGAAGGTGGCCTAGCATAGATCAGAAATGGAATTCATGCCTGCTATCTCCTGAGCTGCAAAGAAGGGGCATATATATTCAAATAAAGCTTTGAAATGAGGATTTTGTGTGGTTTGGTTTTCCTGCTAAGACCTGTAAGATTTAAGCAGGTTGGAGGATGGATCTGAACAGACAGTTAATCACATTTTAATAATAGCTCTCTTCCTTAGGGGAGAAGAAGAATTTATCTTTGATTTCTTTATTTTAAACTAAGATTTGCTGTGCTGAGGAGAAGAAAACTCCTCATTTTGATTTTTAAAACACGTGAAGCAACTGTACCTTCAACTGAGTGGAACTGGCTTCTTCAGATTGACAGCTTCAGGCAGCCAGAGCTGTTCAGAAAGTGGCTACCACGCTGTTAAAGATGTGTGGGTCTGAGATGGGGTTTGCATTAGCTCAGTAGCACGCTTGCTCAGTTCTGCTCTAAAATCTGACTCTTCCAATTAGGACGTGCATTGTGGACACATCACTCAGCCACAACTGACAATGACAGGGCTGTAACTGGTGCCAGGTGTCTCGCACCAGGCAATCTTAGTGACCACATTTAGTCTCTAATCTCCACATACCAAACTGCCTTACTTGCCCTATAATCTTCAGGGACAAACTTGAGGAGGTCAGTACTGGGAGCTGCTTGCGGAGAGGTGCCTGGTTTTGCCATGCTTCACAAGCAGGAAGGGTTCTGCATGGGAGCACAAGGACCGAAACTGCAGCAAGGCCAAAGCAGGGGGATTTGGAGGATGTCCTCTTGTCCCAGCCTATCAATTTAGCTTTGGTAGCATGGTCTGTTCCCCACTTCAGCCCTGTTTGCAGACAAAAAGCCAGCCAGCCACACTAAATTAATCTGGATTACCTGCAACTGCACTGACAGCCACTGCAGAGCAGGGAAGGAGATGCCTGCCAACCAAAGAGACCTCAGATTGGGAGTGATATGGATATGTCCTCACCACCAGGGCAGAGGGAAATCCTGGCTCAATCACTCCCTTCCCCACTGCCCTCAAGCTTTCATGGGCAGAGCGGTTTGACTCTGCTGTGGTTTACCAAAGGCTACAGCTGAACTTAACTGCTCTTAAAAATGCCATTTTGCAAAGGCATTTACAGAAGCATCAGGAAAGCCCGATGACCTTTCAGATTGCTTGTGGTGTTTATTTCAAGGCAGGCAGAAGAGCAGTAAATACTAAGCCAGGAGAACTCTGAAAGCCCTTTTAAGCAGAAGTTTTTAAAGATGAAACACATTGCAAGCCACAAGCATTAGAGAAATAAAACCAGAACTATGTCAGGAACAGTGATAGCAATGGGGGGAGTATTGTATCTCTGTTCATGTGTCTGATCAGCTGCCCCTTCTCCTCCTCCCCTCTCCATAGGGGAGGAACTTCCAAAACCCCCCATAACTGGAAAGCACACACTCAAACCCCAGATGTGATTCATGAGCTAAATGCTCTTGAGAGCATTTGTAAGCCAAGCTTTGTAACCTGCCCTCTGCCTCCTCTGCTAAGCTGCCTGTGACAGCCATGCAGACATGGGCTGTGTTACACTGAGGGAGCTGGTGGATTCACCTGGGAGCACACCAGCACAGAGTCCAGACCCTGCCCTCAGCACCAGCCCGTGCTGGCAGGACACTGACATTTCTCATCGGGCCACTCACCACCTCACTCAGGTGGCATTTTTCTTGCCCTCCCCAACATGCCCTTGACATGCAGGTCTTTCCTCAGAGCTGTGAGCCACAGCTTCACAACATTAGTGGCCTTTTGCTCCACACATGAGCTGGCTATCCAGGACACTGCATGTTTTCCTCATTCCCAAGGCTGAGCTGGCAGCTTTGTGCCTCCTCCACTTGGCAGTGGTGCAGGCAGCACTCTGTGCATCAGTACCACCTCCTGCCAGCAAGTGCACAACCAGAGCCTGCATTGGTACACAAGCATTACAACCCAGCGTAAGGGGGTAGTACAGGCAGCACAGGGAAGAACACACGGGAGGGAGAAACAGCAGCAGCAGGAAGCTGTCTGCCTGCAGGTCTTCCCTAACAACCCAAGTAGCATCAGCCGCACACAGCCATTGCGCACAGGAGAACAGGCGGCCGGCTGGCAGAAGCTGTAGGTGTAGTGAAGTGGTAGAGGCGGAGGTGCTGAGAACACACCATCTGCCCATGTCTCAGCCTCTGAGTAAAAGGCCCTGCTAGGACTGATGCTTACACTCACTTCAGTGCAGCACCCAATGCCAAGGGCAGTGCAATCACAGCTTAGTCAGGCAGCTTGTTTAGCATAGCAGCTCCCCTAAGCATAGTTAAAACCTACTGGTGTAGGATGCAGATTTGAGTGGGTTTACCAGGATTCTGCAGACAGCTGAGCTGGTCCAACCAAGCAGAGACAGTGGTGTCCAGAGGGAAGGTGGTCCAGATGAAAAAGACTAGAGTCATGAGCCTTTTCCAGGAAAGGTAGTTGTGGCACATCCCGGCAGTTTCCCAACTCCTATGTGCTTTTAGCTCTGAGTCTTGTAAAAGCAGGTGTAGTGAGGAATGACAAAGGATGGACAGTCTCATTTTCAGACACACAGAACTGTGACTTGATCAGCAACAGGCATTGCCCTGCAAAGCACTGGTAAAGGAGCATCCAGAGTCCGAATGGGGTCAGAAGCTCACACCCGACATTAGAGATCCATGAACTTCTCCCTGACTTCGATAACATTGCCCGCAACAGATATTCCTATTGTGTCCTAGGTCAAGAGGGCCTAACCAAGCAAGGACTAAATGAGAGGTGGTGTTTGTTCGGAAGAAGCCTCCACCATTAACTTGTGCATTGCTTTACAGACATCTCACTGTTGTGTCTTGCAGTACATCGGTAGCTTGGACGTACCCAGGCCCAACAGCCGCGTGGAGATTGTGGCAGCCATGAGAAGGATTCGGGTAAGTTCAAAAGAGCTGAACCCACATGGAATAAAAGGTTACATTCACTGGAGTGACTTGGTTGCAGTGCACTGTTCTACATCTCCCTTTCCCAGCCTTCCTGTCTGGAGCTCAAATCTCAGCACAGTCAGGATTGTAACAAGCTGCTCCAGAAATTCCCAAGGCATCTCAGGATAGACCCATCCCCTGCTCTTTGCAAAGGGATCAGTTAGCAAAACTCAAATAGCAAACCCTAGCCTGTGCTGAGCAGGTATGGGGATTCTCCTTGAACCTAAGAGATTTATTTAGCCTGTTTGGGTTTTTATGTGTGTGAAAAATAAGATGTACACACAGTGTGCTCCACAAAAACATTCGTATTCATTGCTGGTTCCAAATATGTTATATATTGAAATACCTGGCAGATGTGATGGATGTAAATCCCATCAGACTAGACTTTGTGGATTCTGCTGCTCATGGAATAATTTGCCGTTCTCCCACATCCCCCAGTATAGTTTTACAGTTCCTGTTTCTCATCAGAAAATCTGCACTCTTCCTCCTGTAGCCTTTTATTCTTCAGAGCAGGCTGTGAATGGTCAACAGATTGAGCTACCATTAGCAGGGTGAGCTAACTTACATCTGCTTCACGTATAACCAGTTCAAGCGTATGTACCCCAAAAGGCAGTGCAGCTCCTGTGCCTGGCTGAAGTTTTGCAGGGGTCTTAATACTGAGGCTGTTCCTGTGTCTCACAGCAGCTAAAGCAGGTTTGAGAATCTTCCATTTAAAGCTTTGAAGGGATTATCCCGTTTCTCTCCCTCCCCCCATAGTATTTAACCCATCTAATTTTCATTTAGAATAGTGCTTTTTAAACTTAGCCTGTAACTGGCTGGGGAGCTGATGTATTCATCTCCAGCCAAGCTCAGAAATGACATTCCCCTGCCTTTGCCTGCTCAGACGATTAGCACAGCTCTTGCTCAGAACAAAGTGCAGCAGCAATCTAAATTGCCCTGGTTATTTATGGAACAGGTGAAGAGCTATAGGAAGGAAAGGCAAGAAGTGATGACTACCAGGGCAGTTTAGAAGCTGGCATAACAATTGGTAATTTTTGAACTGAATCAATATTTAGCATCAGATTTGACACTGCACTGCTGATCTTGACTGATAACACCCTTGGAAGGAAAAGCAGACAGTGTTTTAATATCAGCTTCTGGAAAGTCTTGCATTCTGTTTTCATACCTGCTATTGCCACAATGGTACCTAGCTCGGCCTTGGCAATGCAATAGCATGCTTGAGTGCTATATGAAGCATATAAGGAACCACTCTGCATTGGTGGATGCCATCAGTTAATCTTATCACACAATATTTTTAAAGCAGGCATCCTGTATTCTATACTGGGTTTTTAATCTTGGAAGCCCTTTCCAAAAAGGGAGGGCTTCCCTTTTCATGGGCGTATTGTACAGCAGGATCTTATTCAGACACTTCCTGGCTGCTGAGCGGAAGATGCTTCTCTATTGAAGATAGTTAATTGGCACTGATCCTTAATTAGAGCATAAAGAATGAACTGGGAGGTCTTTGAAGAGAATTCTAGTGCATAGAGTACACAACCTAGGAACTGAGGGAAGATGGGGGTTATTTATGTAGCATTCATTTACATGCAGAGGCCTTGTCTATACTAGAGCTTTTTCCCATGGACTCTCAGCGGCACCAGTTGCAACTGGGAGGAAACAGTGGAAGAAGCTATTGGTGGAAGCTAGTATTTTGCTACCATCTTATTGTGAGTGGTAGTGCCTGTTTGCACTGCAAGAGCAAGAAAGCTCCTGTGGCCCTGCCAAGTGTTGGCAGGAGCACATTGTGCTGAAGCTTTCATCCTTTGTGCATTCCAGTGTTCCACTGGAATTCTCTACTGGAGCGGAAGAGAAGTCGCCCAGTACAAGCCCCAGCACAACATTTCCTATGTGCTCTCTATGCCCTGCGACATGGGAGGAGGCAGCATGAGCCACCACTGGAGCAGTCGGTGATGGGGCCAGCTCACAGCACAGGCAGGTTGTTACTCATTGCTTCTGCTACTCTAGAAGAGAACCAGGGAGGAGGATGAGGAGTCACAGCTCTCTTTTCCAGGCTCCGACAGGGCTGGTTACTCTAGTTATTCATGAGTAAGTTGAGGCAAGCCCTGAAACTGCCTTCTTACTACTATGTCTGATTCTGGTCTCTAGTCTGGCTTCCCCAGGGAAAAAAAACCTTGAGCTATCTAGCTCTAGTGTTGTTCTTGGAGTTTGAGAGGAGAGAGGGCAGTAAATAGCAGCTCCAGTTGCTATTATCTACTCCTTGGCATATTACTGTCCTGTGTTTTGTACTGGGCTCTTTTGCCAGCTGCATATGGATTATGCCAGGGAAGCTGGGAGGTTCAGTGGTATTCTTTACTCTGCATTAGCAGAGCAGTAGGCTTGGAGACTGAGGACATGCAGAGCCCGCAGGCTGTAGGACATCACTCCCAGAGAGCCTCAAATGACATGTTTTAACATTAGCCCGCTGAAATCAATCTGCTCTTTTGTGGTAGGTATTTAAGATGCACTCTTACAGTAAAGCTTAAATCCATATTCCTGGCTGAATGGATGCTTGTAGAATCACTAGCAGTACTCCATTAGTCACACATTAGGTTCCCATTTCATAACAGACTGGAAAACCTTGTCTCATCATGCTCTATGCCTCCACTGAAGGGAATGCAGACTCAATAGATACAACAGGGAAGCTGCTGTTCTTCGCTTCCCATTATGCAGAGCTAGACAACTTGAAGTTTGATAATCCTTCCAGTGGATTAGTAGCAGCATACAGCTTGTTATTATATGATCGTCAGAGTTCAAACTAATCCCTCTACTCCTCTTGCCCTGGCAGGGGAGGTGATGAAATTAGTTTGGTACTTGGATAAGCACTGTGTGCTCTGACAGGCACATCAGGCTGCTCTTTATGAGCCCAACTCCTTGTGCAGGCAGGCGTTCCTCCACCTCCCAGGGAGAAGCCAATCTGCCCTCTCCTGCTGCCTGAGGCCTGGGTCTGGGTGTCAGGCAGCTCACACTCCTGCATTCACAGCCAGTGTTCTGGTGGAGCTGGCTTTCTGCTGAAGTGGATTCATCTGCAGGTGTTTAAGGAGCTTATGTACAAGACGAGGTTTTTCTTCCTGCATAAGTGGCAGCTAAAGTGAGGAATGCGACAGTCCTCGAGGGTCCAGATGGCTTCCCAGTTCGGCAGAGTCACCCTTTCCCTTGACACACAACTCCTTTTGTGAACAACTAACTAGCCAAGTTCCCCCCTTAGCCAGGTGAAGGCTCTCATGCAGTTTAAGAGGAAAGATATTGTGGAGCCCACACAGCCTGGAAACATTAACAGGAAAGCTTTGCTAAAGATGCCTATGGGTACAGGCCTGGGAGTAAAGATAGGTTTTGTGAAACACAAAGCTCCTGAGGTTGCTTGGGAAATCGTGCCCTGGGAGACCAGGGAATGGGAGGCATCGTGGAATGGTTTGGATTGGAAAGGACCTCAAGATCATCCAGTTCCAACCCCCTGCCATGGGCAGGGACACCTCACACTAGAGCAGGTTGCTCAAGGCTCCATCCAGCCTGGCCTTGAACACTTCCAGGGATGGGGCAGTCACAGCTTCCTTGGACAACTTGTTCCAGCTCCTCACCACCCTCACAGGGAGGAATTTCTTCCTTATATCGAGCCTTCCTTATGTCTAACCTAAACTTCCCCTTTTTAAGCTTGAACCCATTACCCCTTGTCCTATTTATATGAAGGGTTAACATCCCACGTCCTGCATCCATTCCCCAGAACTAGCACTGACCAGAGGAGAATCAGTCAGCTGTTTCCTTCCTCAAGCAACACAACCTTCAGCCCAGGGCTTCAGAGCCAAACAGCCCTAGAGAAAAGCTGAAAAGCTGCTGTTCTGAGTGGTGAGTTGTACAAGGACACTGCAGGAGCAAGTGTCAAAGCCTGTCATCCCCACAGCCAGCCTGCTGACTGCAATCCCCAAAGTCACTGCATTTAATTACCTTTAAGGCACAGAATCAGTTTCCCTGGAATTTGCACTTAAAGATTTGACAAAGCCTGAAAGTTTGAGGTCTGTTTGGAAGGTCTAGCTGGGACCCAAGCAGGCACTGACACTCAAAGGAGCCAGATGTTGGATTATTAAATCATTTCATAAGGGAACAGCCAACTGGTGCTTTGCTGATCCAAGCACCAGGATGAACAAACAAGAGGCAGGCATCCAGACTAATGTGTTTCTTCTGTTACCTCCGCATTTCTTAGGCTTAACTTAATTGAGAAGTCTTTTTCCCCAGAGGTTGGTGTACCAGAGAAGCAGAAACATTCCTAAATCTTGACACAGGATACATCTGAAATGCCCGAGTACTCCTTGGCATTAGAACTGGCATCTTACTTCAGCATCCCTCCTATCCTGATTGTTCTTGCTGCATGTAAGCTCTTAAGCAGAGCCTCACCTCTTTGCAGTTTCTCCACATGGTATTCCAGTGAGGAGGTGTAATCTAGCCACGCTACAAGTCACGCTGACTGCCAAGTATCAACGGGTAGTCTTGAAGTGTGATATGACAGCAGTTTAAATCAGGATGAGTAAAAGTTACAGTCCTACCAGTGCAACCATGTGAAGCAGAGGAAGCAGCAGCAACAGAACCTGCCTCTCCTGCAGCTAGTCTGAGAGCTGGGCTGGCTTCATGCAGCAGCTTTCACTTAAAGCCAGCCCAGGCTATAAACTGCAACAGTTCAGGAGCAAATATGGGTATTTATCTGCTCCTGCTACAGGAGAGGAACCAGGTAGATAGCTGGTGCAGAGCAGGGTGACTGCCTCCAGCCATCTCAGCTTAATTTATCACTGTGTGGCAGACTTCAGAGGTGCTTAATAGACTTGTTCATGAGATCCTTCTAGAACACAGTTCCTTCAGTTCTCCCAGGCAGCCTTCTTATTACAGAAGAGAAGCTCACCAAGCTAACCACTGCACAGATTCCTCTCATACATTCTGCCTGTAAGCCCTTCCTGCGTTATTATTATGCTTGGAGCTAAGTTTTCCTGCCAGCTTCATGTTAATCTGGGCTGGAGTTTGTGACCAGGACTAAGAAAAGACAGAAGCTGAGCTCCCAGCTGCTGGCTTCTTGGTTAGTCTTCACAGCCTCTCCCACTATAATGACATTGTTTGGTCCTCTGCGGCTGAGGCACAGGCTCAAACTGTTGCAGCACTTGCCGTGGTACAGGCCTCAGTAGCTGCATGCCAGGGTCTGTTGGTATTGGATGGGAGTTTGTTCTGCTGCCCTTCCTGGAGGGCTTTTCATTCCAGCCTCTTTGGAAGAGCATCCAAATGCTCAGCTAATGACAGCCCTGGGCTGTGAAAGGAAATAGTCCCAGCATCTGAACATATTTCATCAGTCCTCAGACTCCTGGTGTGGACCTTTCTGTAGTCCTCAGAATGCCACGCACCTTCCTTGCATTTACAGGAGGGTACAGGAAGAACATGATAGTTCTTACATGGCTGGAGTGTGAAACACAAGCATCTTATGTGTCTGCTCTGAACTGATAGCACATGGTGGGGGGGAAATGTTGGTAACCAAATCTCATTTACTACGTGTTGCAGTCATGGCTCCAATCAGCATTCATACTGACCAGCATACAGGCAGACAGCAGACCTTGTGGGAAGATGAGAGGAAGACTTCTGAGCAACAAGCCTGTATGTTCCTCTTCCTCCTTCCCCATACCAAAAGGACTATGCATTTACCACAAAGTATGCTCAAGAGAGCATCTTTTTCTAGGATACCTTCCCTGCTTCTCTGGAGAACCATGCAAGGGTTGCTTACACTGATACGTATTAGACAGAGTCTACAGCCTCCAGGAGAGAGCAGTGGCTTACAAACCAAGTGTACATGAGCGCGTACAAACTTGCTCTGATACCTTCTGCAGAAGGCCTGGTGTCAGGTTGGGCTCTTCTCCCAAGCAGAGGCTTAAGAAAGGCTCATGCAGCTTCAGGCAGGCAGTGCATGATCAGACTATAGTCAGTCCTCAGCACAGCATACAAGTCCACCCAGATAAACCCTGAGGAGCTTGCACTAGTGACTCGGAAGGAGATTTACAGGCAAACATGGGTGGCTTTCTCTTCTGCCTACTCTCTAGATCTCTCTGTATTTCTCTCTCCCTGTCCAGCAGCCCACCTTACCTGCCATCTACTTTAAGGGAAGATACTCAACAAAGCTATGGGCAGAGAACAGTCAGACAAGCAGGCTAAGAAAACAGATTGGCACAAGGCCATCAAGAGCAGAGGAGATGACTTGCCTCAGGGCATCCTTGCCATACAGCCCTTCTCTTCCCCAGGCAGGGCTGTGTCCCATTACCTGCCACATACAGGACTGCTCAGGTGCAGGCACTGTGGTCTTAAACACCAGTTACTCCCGGGGTCCCATCCATGACAGGCATCTGAGCCAGCTGAAAGTTTCTACCCCACAAGATTAAGCTAATTGGTTCTACCTTTCCAGGCCCTGGCGAAATAGAGCAAGTGTTTTCAGGTTGGTAATTAAGTGTTAATTGCAGCTAAGTTTAGCCCTAATGCCTCATTAGTTTGTTTTCCTCTATTTGTTGCAGCTAGAGCAGAGGCTCCTGCACAAGGATGGGGAGCAGGGTGGGCTTCCTGGGAGGCAGAAGAGTCCTATCAGGAAGCCTCTTACCACCTCTTTCCCAACAGGAGCTCTGGGTGAGACAGAGACCTTTACACCTCAATGCTCTAAATAACATCTAGGCAGCAGCTCTGCAGGGTCTCTGGTTTGCCCAACACACACATCAGCCCATTTTCATGTTACAGTGGATTTTGCATCTCGTCCTATTACACCTTTGCTGGAGCCTTCACCACCTCAGCCCCCACTGCAGGTTCTTTGCTGTCTCCCATGCCCCAGGGCTAGTCAGTGGCTTTAACAAGGGCAGGCAGTACTGAAGCTACTACTGTTCAGGGCCCTGCTCTACTGAAAAGGACTTTAATTCCTCCACACTGCAAACAGCACCCGGGTTTGGTTCCCACAGACTGTTTGCTGGTCTCTGAGCAGATAACAGACCGGACAGAGATGCCCTTGGGAGAGGAAGCCACCCCACATTAGGAGATGACAGACACGTTGCGGGTCTTACCTTTCTGCAGCACGGGTGCTGAGGAAAGAGATGAGCCCTCTAGGAGAAGGTCTGGCAGGAATCCATTTCTCCAGGCAAAACAAGAGGCTTAGCACTGCAGGGCCTCCTCTTGCAATAAGCAGAGCCACAGAACTGCAACCTCTCACCCTACCTCCAGAAAGGGCTTCCTACCCTGCCCCATAGTTTTATATCCTATGTCCTTTCCCAGTATTCCCTGCAACCTTAATCAGCCAAAACACCAGGTGGGATGATGTCTTCCAAAGCTCCCTTGCTATGAAGGCCTGATGAAGGGAAGAAGGCTGGATTTGGAAGGATGGGTGATGCAGCTGCAGCTCCTTAGGCCTGTCTACACATGTTCTCCAGCCCACTGTCACCTTGGCAGGCTTGTTTCATGCATACCCTGCTTTACTGGCCTTACAGAACATGGAATTTTCATAAACTGAAGAAACAGTGTGGAAGCTGCTTCTCTAGAATTGAGCCTGCCACATCTCAGACTAACCCAGGTTTGGTTTATCCCATTTCTGCTCTTTGTATTATCATAACAGAAAGGAGAGAAGCTCTTACTGAGATGTTTTTGCAGTGGCATCATGCAGTGTTTCTAGGCAGCATCATGTGGCTGTGGTGGAGGACTCACTACTCTGTGCTTGTACATCTTGAGTAGGAGGAGAGAAATAAACACCTCTGAGATAGCACAAGAATCCAGCCTTCTGCTCACTGCTTGGGGACATCTTGTCATGCCCTAGAGCTGCCCCACTGATTTAGAAGCTTTTGCAGGTTTCCACCCTGCTCATCTCCCACCCTAAATCACAGCTGGACTCTTGCCACACAATAGTGATAAGTTACCTTCTGCCACTTGTGAGCTGAAATGAGTGGGCACTGTTCCAGCTGTGAATAGGCCACTGTAACAGAAGACAGCTTAGAACTCTCATCAGTATCCATGTGCTACAACCTAGGTTTGAGAAATGACCAGTGATTACAGATGCTTCAGTTCTTACTTCCACCCTGTTCAGTGTGTGCTGTGTATGGCTGGTGGCGGATGGCTGGAGGGATCACTCACTGAAATGTGTCATCTCTTAGCAACAGCGACCTTTCAGTGCCTTCTTCAGAGCACTGAGAACTGAATGGCTTCTCCAGCGAGGGGGTGGAAACAGTGAGGCATATTAATATTGGTTTGCATAAGAGTCATGATGGATTGGAGTTTAGATGAAGCTGCTAATAAAAGCAGCAGTTAAACAGATGAAAGCTAAATTAAAATGTTAGTACCAAATAGAACAAGACAAGAGCTTTTTGTCTCATGCTGTATCTTGGCAATGAGGCAGGTACCTTTTAATTGTAAAACAAAGTGGCTTTAACAGTATTATCATTATATTACTGAAGCATTTGATTTCACTAGCAAAAATACCAGTATATGAGAACTCTGCAGAGCTTTTATCTAGTTTGAAATGAAGTAGCTTTTCTCACCAATTATGTTACTGGGTGCAGGTTATTACAGAGATTAAATATAACGGCTTTCAAGTGACATTCTGGTGTAGAACAATCAGCCACCACTCAAAGCTGCTGCTTTATTAGTGAGAAAATGCAATTGAGATGGCAACCAGAGTAGTAGGGAGCACATTGGATTAACTTGTTAACAAGGAGGTGCCTTAATCTCAGTGACAACTGCACGGGCAGAAGCTGGGGTTGTCCGTGGTGGGGAGATGCTGGTGGAGCAGAGACCCTCCTAAAAGTGCATGCATTCATTTCCATTAGAGCAAGCTGACATGCTGCAGGAACGAAATGGAAGGGTCCATGAAAATACAAACACTTAAACCTGAGCCATGGGTGAAGTTATCTACATGAAGGGAAAGAATTAAAGCAAAAAACACTATGGTGCAACCTCAGTCTTTCTGGTTCTTAGGTTAAGAGGGTCCATGCTGGACATAAGAGGAAGGCTAGATCTAGTGCCACAACGGGGATGTGTAGACGCCGTCTTGATTTTGTCCAATGCAAAAGCCCTTTGTACTTTATGGATCACTGTTTTGAGAAGGAACCATGACCAGAAAACAAAATTCTGCCTAGTAAAGTGAGATTTGCTAACAATAGCTTGGTTCTATGTTTGCTTTCTTAATTCTGCTTTGGCTCTGTACTAAGCGAGGCCTGAAGGCAAACAGAATTGGTACTACTTAACATAATACTTTGACAAGCTGCTTCATGTTTTGACCAAATAACTGTGTGATAAATCTACAGAATCAAAACCTTGAATGGCTCCCTGGAGGGAAGGATACTTTGATGAGGGAGAAGGGATTTTTCAAAGGCATTACAGAATGGGTTTCTTTCTTTCCTTCAGCAGTGATTAGACAGCCTCTAAATGGTCTTTTTCTGGGCCAGATGGGTTATTTGGACTAATTGGCAATTGCCTGACTGTTTTGAGGATACCAGAGTCACTTCCCCCTTCCTCCATCCTTCTGTCACTGTGTTGCTGCAGAGATGCTGCCATGCGGTAGGTCTGCTGAGGGGGAGGATGCAGCCCTCACAATGCAGAGCATCACTGGCCAGGCCTCGAGTCACCCTTCTACTTGCACAGCCACATCCAGTGTACCCCCAGGAACCCCCAAACCCTCTGAGCTCCAGGGTTTCCTTTCTAAAACAAAGGATTTTTGTCATGGAAGAAGAGCAGTGGGACACACTAAGACTGGATGCAGTGTGATGGAGGACTAGGCATCTACAGCTGGCTCCAGGAGGGTGTAAGGCACACAGTTACTCTTCAGGCACATGGGTCCTTTGGTAGAACTGTCCCAGATGCTGGTGCCTGCCATCAACACCAACTACATCTGAAATGCCCTGTGCCTAGCACAGAACCAAATGTAGCTCATGAAGCACTGGGTTCAGTGATCCCAAGCCATCATGGACCAGTTTGGTCCTGCTGCAGCCTGTGCTCCTGCCGTTAATGATTATGGGGTTTAAACTTCCAGCCCAGACACATTTTCTGTTGCCCCACCCCCCCCCCCCCCAGCCCAGGGCAATGCTGGTCTCCTGCTCATTTTGCTTCCTTGCATCCAAGCAGGGGGCAGGAGCAGTTGTGAGCTGGGGTAGGGAACACTGTGGTTAATCATTGACCTGTACACGAGCAGCTCAGGATGCTACTCTTTGTAGCTGTTTTAGAGGCTGTCTGTACCAAGTTCTTCACCTTTATTTACCCATACAGTAGCTGCATACCCAGCTGAGGACCCTTGTGTGCCTCCAGGAGACATGGGCACGTACAATGCCCAGTACCACGAGCCTGCAAACAACTGACAAACCATCCAGTGGCTTCTTATCCAAGAGCTTGAAAGCCCAGCCCAGGCTGCTTGCCTCTGCCTTAGCACTTGGCAGTGATGCTCTGGTACAGTTTTGATGATGAGACCTCTGTAACAATAAATATTAATACCATAAATCCCTTTTTATCCATAATTCCCACTAACTAAACCCAGGCTGTTTCTCTCATCATGATTCACTCACCTTGGTAAGCTCCCCTGAGGCTAACAAAGTCCTTGAACTGCTTAATAATCTGGAGTTTTGGAATGACACAATTAGTGTTGAATTTTCCTTCTCTTACAGTAACAGTCTTGTTTCCAAATTTGAGTATGATTTTATGGACAGCTTGAGGAGAACCCAGAGACCTTCCTTTAGATTTAGGGATTGCCCAGAGAAGGGGTACCACAGTCTGTTGGCAACTTCATTAGCATTCAGTGATTTCTAACCAAGGACCACTTGTACTTTAAAAGTCCCTCTTAATGGCTGTATCCAAATACCAGACCTGGCTCTGCTGCTTCTAAGGCAGGATCTTTCAGAATTACATGCCAAGTCTACTAACAGACCTTACATACACAGTCATCACAGTCCTACAGTGCCTGACCCCCTCCAAGATCAATGGCCTGTTCCAGGCTGGAACTGCTGTACTGTTGGTGCTCTTAGATGCAGACACATCCTTTCTGTGCAGCACTTGGAGGTCAGCTATAAGTCACTGGGCTTTGTGTAAGAAAGGTTTTCTCAAGCAGAACTGTTGGAGATCGATAGAATTAAGAGCTACACAGAAAAAGTCTCCTTGGCTGGGAATAAAGCAGATTATTTCAGTCCTTGACTGTCTCAGACCAGTACATAGCTTTCACAGCTCGTGAAAGCTGTTGGCATTGAGAAGTAGAAAGGTTGAGCTGCACCCAGGGCTTGAGCTAACAATGAGAATGAAGCCTGATTGCACCTAGCAAATGAGCCATGAACCTGGTCTGCACATAGCAGCACACTACACAGCTCAGCATCCCTCCCATCTTCATCCTGGTCTAGTTTGTAATCAAAGCTGTTTCTGAATGCAAATGGACGCCGAGTTTTCGTTCTAGCTTGAATTCTGCTTGCTCAAAAATAGAGGTGCCAAGTCCAGCTTCCTACCTCTGCCACAGACAGGCAAAGAAAATGCTAATTTCTCTAGTAGGTGGCTGAGAGAAACTACAAGACAGAGCTGGAAGACAGCACCCAAGATACATATGGTGTGTGATAACAAGTTTAGAAGCCAGGAGATGGTCCCTCCCTGCAGCATTTACCAAAAGCAGGTGTTAGTCATGCAGATGTAGCTTCTCCAGATTCTCAACAGCAAACTAGATTCCTCCTCCTCCTTTGGATAAGCATCCACCCTGGGTGGGCATGCTCAGCATCACTCTCCTCCGCATCCTGAAGTCACAGAGGCTTTAAGGAGGAGGCTGCAGCCACACTCTTCCTCCTGGCCACAGAGCAGCATAGATGCTGGATGTGGAGAACCAGGGTAAATCACCCCTGGTCCTCTTGGGACTTAGTTACCTGTTTGAACGCGTGGACCTTCTCCACCTTAACCTCACCTGTTCTCAGCCTCAGGAGCACTGATGCTTGCTCTCCATCCCCACACACAGAGCATGGCTCCCCAGCCTGCCTCCAATTTGCCATCCTCCTCTGGACTACCTGAGACAAAATAGCATCATTGCATAAACGCGAAGCATTGCATTATTTAGGGACCTGAAATCCTGGGACCTGCCTTTGTCAGAGCCCCAGCATGGCAGCAGGATCAGGGTTTCTCCCCATCTCTGTGCTGTGCCAGTGCGAGCCCCTGCCAGGGCCCTCAGTATGCACCCCTGAAGCCCCATCTCACACACTGCAGCTCCCTCCACCTGCACAACCACACCAGGGTGGCTCAGTGGGTTGAGACCAAATGTACAGTGAGCAGGAATCCTCAGTTGCTCCCTGCTCATGTCTTTGTGTGAGCAGTACCTGATGGCCTGGTCCTGGTGGCTGGGTGCTGGGTGGCTGTTGCTTAGCAGGGGGCTGGCTGTAACCAGAACAACTGAATGAATGAAGCAGAAAACGAACATCCTTGCTTTGGGGATGAGAAACCAACACATAAAATACTCCATTACCTTCCCACAGCCAGGTAGGGGGTCTGAGGCTTCTTCACAGAGCTCTGAGCCTGCCACAGGGTCCTGGCTCCTGCTCTTCTGAGCTTTGTTGTTTGAACATTGATGAACAAGGTTTAGAACAATTCAATCTCCTAACTCGCCTCCTGTCCTACAATCCAGGCTGGAGGGCAACGAGGATATGAACATCATGTGTACAAAACCAGGGCCTTCTCTGCAGGGCCTCTTGACACTGATGTTTGTAGGGAAATACAGAACTACTTGCAGGTATCAAGAGTGTATAATTGCAGTTTCACTTGTAAGGGTTGTTTCAGGTGACTCTGACCTGCTTCTAATGAAATTAGCACTTTTTATCCGCAGTAACCTAGCAGCTCTTTGAGGTAGGCACCATTTCCATGCTCATGTGCATTCAGTGCCTGGTACATGAGACTCCATTAGGGTGGGGTCCCAAGACACTACTTCATTACTGAAAGTAATTAATCACCCAGAGCAGTGCGGATGGAAAGGGTAATTTGTTTTCTCCTGCAGAGTGAATAGAGGTAGGCAGGAAAATGAACCCCAGCTTCCCTGTGAGCCGCGCTTGGCCTGCCCTGGTGGGACGAGGGCTGTGTGTGGGAAAGCTCCCTATTAAACCTGGGGACAGCGGGGAGTCCCTGGAAGTGACAGTCACACAAAGGGGCTTTTGTCGGAGAGGCACCAAAGGCCAGATGATGTCACCTTGTGCCTCTCGGGATGGAGCTCGGCACTGTCTCTTTAAGGGAGGAGGCAATGAAAAGGCTGCCTTTATCCCACCCTTCTTTAAAAGCAGGAGCAGCTTTGTTCCAGCACAGTCTGCCTGTTCTCAGAGGTGGAAAGGACTAATTAAAGAGCCACCGCTGCTCTCCCCACCAGCTCCCATCACCTCCAGGAGCTCTGCTCTGCCCTGCCCTATGGAGTGTCCAGAGAGGCTGGATCCACAGGATGCTCTCCTGTCATTCACAAGCTGCTTCTCTGCAGCTTCCAAACCCTTGCAGGAGGGTGGCGCTTGGTGCTGCTTCCTAAAGGACTGGTTTTTCCCCTTGGACTTTATGTCTTCACTCACACACAGCCCCAGAGCATCTCCAACCAAAACAGGAGGCAGCAGGAAGCAGCCAGACCAGACATGCCCATCATTCCTACTGTTACCTCTTCAGAAACCTGTGTCCCATAAAGAGCATCCTAAAAAGAGACAGAATCCACCTGCATCTCTGCAGAGCTCTAACACAGCCAGAGCCAGGACTAAGAGGCAACTTCCAAGAAGCTGCTTTTCAAGCTAAGTCAGGAACTGGCTAAACACAGCTCCAGTGTCCTTATGCTGGCTGAGGGGCTGCAGGGCATAGGTCCAAGAAGACCTGCAGGTTAGGCCAATTAAAACAGTGCTGATGATGCCAAGCAGGAGGCTCCAGAAGCATATCTGAGCTTAGTGTCAGGTTTCTGCATTTCCCCCAATGCCTTTCATCCCTCAATCCTCCAGTTGCAGCGAGGGGCATTAGTGAAGGGTTTGGCCAACACATCCCTCATCAGGGAGGTGTTTGTGCATCTCCTTGTACCAAGACAAGTGTGAGGGGCCACACGCTGCCCCGGGGTCAGGGAGCAGCCAGGGTGGCTTTGCTCAGTGAGGAGGAGCTGATAACATGGCCCTTGTCAGCCAGGAGCCCACCACATCATACCTGAGCAGGATGGGCAGAGCAGACCCTGGGGAGCAGCCAGGCTCAGCCAAGGGTCCACATCATCAGGCAGGTCCATGCTGGTGGGACAGATCTGTTTCGAAGCTGGGAAGCCAGTCTTCAGGTTGGGATGAGCAGATCCATGGCCGGGCATGACTGGAGACCAACATCTCTACCCTAGAGCTCAGGAAAGGAGTGAGGGCCCAGAGCTGAACTTAAATGGAGCCTCTGCTCATGAGTGTGGATAGAGACCTCAGGTGAGGCTGGTCAGGACCATTAACACCTCTTCACAGCTGGTCAATGTGAGAAGAGCCAGAGGTGAGAGATGCCTGAGCAAGCCAGTGCAGTTGATTCTGTGGCCTGATGGGCAGAGTTTGAGCACATAGACAGGAGTTTCCCATTACTCCTCTCCTCACAGCCATGTGGCAAATTGTCTCCAGCTCCTGCACCGAGGAGATCCACCTGCAGATCCACGTGTGCAGGGCACCAGCTCCACGCTGGCCGCAGTAATCCCTGTCAATAAATGACCTGTGGCCAGTACATCCCATGGTGCTTTCTTGGCAGGGCTAATCAAAGTCTAGCCCGTAAGCAGGTCTCTGCAGCTCAGGCTGCTGCCAGGGACATCAGCAGTGCTGGTCCAGTGCGGATGCAGGGGCTCTGGCACAGGGTGCTGTCCCTAGGGAGTTCCATACGCTCCTTGAGGACTCAGCCTCAATCACAGGCTCACTGTCCACACAACCCACCAGAAATACTGGGGTCCAGAGCATCTGCAGGGCTGGAGCACAAACCTGCACATGATTGGAGAAGTTATAGAATCATGGAATGGTTTGGGTTGAAGGGACCTTAAAGCTCATCCAGTTCCAGCCCCGGCCATGGGCAGGGACACCTTCCACTAGAGCAGGGTGCTCCAAGGCCCTGTGTCCAACCTGGCCTTGAACACTGCCAGGGATGGGGCAGCCACAGCTTCTCTGGGGAGCCTGTTTCCATCCTCAGCACCCTCAGTCCCGCCTGGCCCCGCAGGCAGCCCTACCAGAGCATGGAACTGGGAATGCATCAATAAACCCCGTGTGATGAACCACGGTCACATTTCCCTGCTGCCCTTCCAGGGACACCCAGAAACCCAGCGGGGCTGTGATAGCTCCTTGGCCCCCTCCAGCTCGCTGTGTGGGGACTGGGCTGCAGTATCTACAGAGAACTTGTTGGATGCTGGAAGGAGCTAATTGAAATGAGAGGGGATAAAAACGGACTTTGGGTACGTTGCCAGCATTCTCCTTGCCCATTGTCCTCCCCCTTCGGTTTCTGCTTTCCACTGAGCAGTTTTGTTTCCAAGGATCATAAATTCTCATTTTTCCACTGGGCAGGAGGTGCACTCCCGGCCTCCACCGCTTCCTGCGTCGCTTTTGTGTCCGTGTTGCCCAGTTACTGCAGCACAGACCCAGACTATGCCCGGCCACATTCACCCCGGCCATGTCCCCGGGAGCGTGCGCCCTGCCGGCGTGCACTGGGAGTTCATAGGATGCAGACGGGCACATGCTTCCCAAGAGGAACAAAGGAAAGGCCATAACCCAGCGGTCTCCAGCCGGAGGCCATGAGGGAGCCGCTGGAATGCCGCTGCCCACAAGGCTGTTGCGGGAAGGTGGGATGTGATGCAGAAGGGGGATTGGAGGCTGGACCACAGCCTGTGGTCCAAAGGGTATGGGAACTGACGGCACTGGTTTGTCAGCTCCAGGGCGGCTGTGTTTGGCCAAGCTGCACTTGCTGGGAGCAGAACGTGGGAGTTTTCTGTAGCATCGGTTCCAAGCGGCAGCGTTCCAAGCATCCGTAATTCAAACAGCAGTCAAGATAACACCGTGTCCTCATGCCGTGCGGATCAGTTCGGTTTGAAATTAATTACATTCCTCAGCTTGAAATACTTGGATTCATCCTGGCTTTTATTCCTAAAGCGGCGCTCACACGGTACCGGAGGTTGCGCACAGCAGCGGGAGGGAAGGATGCGTCCCACAGGGCTGGGATACAGCCAAGGAGCAGGAGCAGGGGCGCTGGGTCCTGCTGGGGTGCCCGGAGCCGGTCTGTCGGGGGGCAGAGCCGAGCGGATTTCCACCTCCTCATTGCCATGCTCCCTGTGTCTGTCCGGTGGGAGAGGTTGGGAAGGGGCTGGGACTGCTTATTGTTGGGGGGTTGTTTATGGACACATCCATCCTGCAGCCTGCCAGGCCGGGACAGGGCAAGGGGAGGTTAGGGGCAGGACAGCAGGTTACGGGCTGGCTGGAGGATTTACAGCTGCAGGGAGAAGCCATCCATTTCCAAGCTTGGAGCATCTTTGGGTGCACAAAGTACTTACCCAGCAGTGACTGGGAGCACTGATGCACAGCAGCAGCCACGTTTGAACCATGGCAGGAGCATGTCCTGGCTCTGCTGCTCTCCCGAGTCCGACCCTTCTGCTCTTTGTCAATGAGGGAGATGCATTTTTTGGAAACAGAGGCTGCCTTTAAGACCTTCAAACTCCCTATTTTATGACAGTTTCCATTTGCATAATGAAAGCCCTGATACCTTCAGTAATTAATCACATTAAGAATTGCTTCCTTGAATAACTCTATTCATGCAAGTTGTTCTTAGTGCTAGAAACTGCATATGATTTCCAATGTGCATTAGCCCATCTCTTTCATCAGCAGATGGAAGCTGGTAACTGCATGTGTAATTTATATCTGCTTGGGTGGAATTATCGGATGAAATATGCATCACGCAGCACCATTAACATTTCTAGTCATAGAGTCTTTAGCTCCTGGGTAAGTTAAGATTACATGCCAACAGTGTGTGGGACCGTAGGAAAGGCAAGGACTTGAACACGGGGATTTAAAAGCAGAAATGGGAAGTATTCCAGGTCAGATAGAGAATTAATGACATTGCAGAATTAAATGAGATGCATTGCCCCTTTTTTGACCTGCATTTTCTTATACAATGTCCAATTTTGTCCCATAGTAAAGAAAGCTGCCAGGCTTGATGCTGGATCACCACTTGTGAGGGCAACTCCAGGTCCTTTAACATCCAGAAAGCTTTTCCCCATAGGATAGCACAGGCAGCAGGAGAGTATCGACTGACTCACAGAAGGCAGCAGAGCAGATGCACGCTGCTGTGTGGGTTTGGGTTTGTTGGTAACCTTGACAAATCTGGGGGAAAATCACATCAATTCAGTAGTAAGAGAACAAAAATGAGTGCCTGGATGTTCTCTGTGTCAGTGCCAGGTTAGCCAGGAGCTCGGGCTCAGCTGTATGTTGGTTTATACATCAACATCTTTAATAGATGAAGTCTGCTACCTTGCAGTGCATTTTTCCGTGCGCTTTTTTGTCCTTACATAAATCACATTTAATTAAAACATTGATTCCTGCTTGATAGGAAGCAATTAAATGCCTGTAGCTGTATCCCATCTGCCACTTGTGTGTAGAGATGGGGAAAGAGCCCAGTCTGAGCTGGTGCAGCGTGGGCTCACGGGGCTTTTGCCCAGCCCTGCTCTTGGGAGCACAGTGCTCTCCCAGCTGGTGTTACTGAGCAGCCAGTTGGGTCCAGGCCATCCTACAGCTCCTTTAGGAAGGATTTTAGGGCCCAATCAGTTTTACCTTCAGGCCAAGCTAATTCTGCCCATGGCTGGGACCCCAGCATGTGGGGAACATGCATTGGCCGTTTGTAGGTGCTCTGATGAGGATGCAGGAGCAAGGCACAAGCAGCAGCAGCTATGAGCTGCATGGAGCAAGAAGGACCAGTGAACTCATGCGCCTCCTTCCTCGATGATGCTGTGGCAAAGGGCCCAATCCAGAGCAGAGCCTGAGGGTTCTGCCTGCAGATTGCAAGGGTCAAAACTGCCTCAGATGCTGTGTGAAGGGGAGGTGTGTGTCACTGGGGCAGAGGAGAAGCTCTGAGCTCTGCTCCTGCCTGCCCCACGTGCAGCCCCAGCCCCAGCCACCCCAGTATGGCTCAGGGCAGAGTGTGCCTTCATCCTTAGTGACATGGTTTATGGTTGATAATCTTAAAGGTCTTTTCCAACCTAGTTGATGCTATCATTTTGCTCCTGCTGGCTGTATGACTCTGCTCGGAGCTGAAGCTCCATACCAATCCCAAAGTCAGGCTGGGATGGTGCAGTGTGGTGTGGCAGCTGGCTGGAGTTCCCTGGCTCTACAGAGACTTGCCATCACTCCTGGCAGCAGCCAGGGATGCTGCTGCTCCCGACTGTTCCTTTCTGTCCAGGAGAGGAGGAAAAAGCATCTCTGCAAAATCCAGACTTGGACTTTGCTTAAAGCCTTTGAGTAAAGAGCCTTGTTTGAATGTAATTGCACCTCTGTTGCTACAAAGGGAAAATAAACTGGATTGCTCTCTCTTTCTTGGAAAGCTCAGCTAGTATTTTCCCAGCCATTTGTGCATAAAGAAAGATAAATAGCTCTTTAGTGGGCAGAGCAATCCATCCCGGCTTTATTGACATGCATGCGAGCAGACAGGGAGAAACAGTTTGGTGCTGCTGAGCGCAGGGGAGGGGGAAGCTCCAGCCTGGTGGAGATGGGAGCACGCAGTGAGGCTGGGCTGGGGTCGCCAGCACCACTTGGGTGCTGAGACCAGCAGCCCCCCAGATGTGTGCATCTCCTGAGGGTCCCCCCGGCCCACAGCAACCTGTAGGATGCTCCCCCCACCTCTCCCATCATCTCACTCCTCCCTATAGAGACGTGTATGGCAGACTTAGCCCTGGCTTCACACGCAGCGGTGCTAGAGAGAGGCTTTCAAAGAGCTTGTCTCAGAGTAATAATTCATGGGGAGATCAAAAGGCTGCGGTTTAATCTGGGGTCTGTCTGATACCATAAACCTTGCCGAGTGCTAAGGATTCAATGAGCAGCATCAAAAGCCTGATAAACACAAAAGCCACCCGATTTTCTGCCTAGGAGGCTGGTGTGGCTTACAATGGGTGCTGAAGAGCTGGAGAGATGCTTATCATCTTCTCTGCAATGCTGACACGGAGCCACACACAAAGTCCTTCACTTTTCAGGCTCCTGAAAGAGGTGCCTGCACTCCCTTAACATCCCCATTGCTACCTGCGGCTCTGCCACGATGTCCCCTTTGCTACATCCCGCCTCTGTTACAGCACCACTGACAGTATTAGGCTATTAAAATGGGATTTGTAACCTCTGCTTCTGCACTATGGGAACTGTACATTGAGTTAAACCAAAGGATTCTGTCTCTAATAGATACATGATGGCTGTTCCTGTAGCTGCACTGACAGTAAGGGATGTGCTGGTTTAGATAAATTGAGGATCTGGCTCAGGAATGCTGGATTTCTGATAGGCACTGTGGAAAATAGAAGGCATCGAAATGCTGTGTTTGGAGGCCAAATGTAGTGCCTAAACTGGAGCCAGTCGGGATCAGTGCTGTGAGCACAGGTCTCCAGAGCAGAAGGGCTCTGCCATGCTTGTGGCTGTCAGCAAAAGCAAAGCTTAAAAGCCAGAAGTTTAATTTTTAGCACAAGCGGAGGGGAGTTCAGGCAGCAAACACCTGCAGGTGAGAGCTGGGTTGTTCTCCTGAGCCCACTGAGGTTAATGTGATTATGGAAATGACTGAGGTGTGATTGCGTTATTGCCACCCATCTGGCCCTCCCTGCAGTTCACCAGCGATTTCATATTCCCCATGCACTGCAGCACTGACATACAAGGGCGCTGGAGATGCCAGAAATCACTGTGTGGTGTTTGCTGCAAGTGCAATCTCCTGTCGAGCCTCTGGGGCAGAGTCCCACTGGACAAGGCATGGCCAATGCATCAGGATAGTTCTTCCTGGATCCGAATCTACAGTCTCTGGATGTAGTCCAAAGGGTTGAGCTATGCTTATCCTCTCCCCAAGGATGCTCCTGACAAAGCCAGGATCCTGCCCAGCATCCAAGCTATGGCAGTGAGCCCTTCACAACATGGATTTTCTTAGCAGGATAAAACAAATTCCCACTTCCCTAGGATTAAACACTAATCCAACACTTTAATGTAAAACACTAATAGCACACACTGCCCTAGGTACTCGCTTTTCTAACCTGGGTTTTTCCTCCCATCAGTATGAATTCAAAGCCAAGAACATCAAGAAGAAGAAAGTGAGCATCATTGTGTCCGTGGATGGGGTGAAGGTGATTCTGCGCAAGAAGCAGAAGGTGAGACTTCCCCAGCCCCACTGGGGCACCCGGGATGTTGGCTCTAACCATGTCTGGGTATCGCCACTGTTCGGGCTGGCCACACTTTTAACCAAAACCGGCCTTTTTTGAAAACCCTGATTTTTCTTTAAATTCCCTGAATTTTCACAAGAAAACACTCCATTTCCCATCAAGCTAATAACAAAACCTCACTGAATAAAGAGTAGGGAAATGACACTGTAGGAAGAGGATATATTGTTGGCTTTCCCATCAAAACTGTCAAGATTTCAGGAAATAGGTTCTTTTTCTTGTTAATACGAGTAGGCTTTTTATGCACTGCCTGGGCTGAGCATCCCTCAGCTCCCCGCCCAGGCAGAGCTTCCTAAGCCCTGGCTCAGAGCCTTCTTCCCCAAAACGTGTTACTCTCCTGCATATTTGATGCTATAAATCAATCTTAGGGGCCATTTTCAGCCCTGAAGGCTGGGATCAGATAACCAGCTGTGATAAATGAGCAAAGACATCTATTTTTATCCAAGATACCAGTGAAACAGCCATTGATCACGCAGCCAGGCTGTAGCCTGGATTCCAGCTTGGGACAAAGGCGCCATTCTCAGGGCTCCTGCCCATCATCATGGTGGAGTTTCATTCTTACCTGACACACCAACTTTGTTTCTGCCCTCTGTTTACAGAGGAAGGAGTGGACCTGGGATGAGAACAAGATGGTGGTGATGCACGATCCCGTATACAGGTAGGTGCAGGGGGGTTACACCAGTAGGTCCCATCAGCCCTGAGCGACGCGCATCCCTCATCCCCCTTGCTTAGTTCCCAACACCAAGGCTGTCTTTCCAATGGACCATGAAACATTAACGAGGATGCAGAATTGCTGCTGATGGAAGATCCTTCTCATCCATTTTTAAGGGCGAGGTGGGCTGATGTAGCTTTGAAGCTGGCTCTGCTTTGAACAGGGTTAGACTAGGTAACCCCCAGAGATGCCTTCAGCTCGCATTACTCTGATTCCGACTCTGAAGACAGGCTTCCTGTGGTTTGCTTCAGAGCATGGCTCACTGTGGGCTTCTGAAGAGCCTTACTCTAAGGTGTAAGTGCGTACAGTGAATTAACCCCTACAGGGCATGGTAAGACAACACTGACTTTCCACAGGACTTGCCATGGGATCTCCAAATATTCTGCAGACCGCAAGCCCCACGCAGAGGCTTACACTGCCTGTAACCCTAATGCCTCAGGAGCCATCAGGCAACCTCAGCAGTGGTGTGTAGCCCCTGGGCACAGTTCTGAGCACAGGTTGCACCAGTGAATAGTTGTACCAAGAGCACAAAGCCCACAGCCTCAAGGACCGGGGTCGTGGACACTGGTTTTCTGTGTTAGAGCCCTTGGTGAGGAGATAAGGAGCATTATCTGTGCCTACCTCTCACTTCTGGTGTTCCTTAAAGATGATTACAAGACATGGTATATATACAGCAATAATTGCTCCAGCTGCAGGTCCAACACAAAAAAAATCCCAGTGACAGGAAAGAGTAAAAGAAAACAACATTTCAGGAATCCCTTTGGCTTCTTCTCTATTCAGACCTGAACTCTCTTGTCAGGTTTTCACCCAATTAAATCAAACATAGAAAGAGGTCTTTTAAAATGGTTTTGCAGTGCAGGCAGGGGAAGGAGTCAGCCTGATAAGGAGAGCTTTCCAGTCCTACAGGTTTCTTAGCTTTCCCACAACATCTTTAAAAAGCCTTTTCTACTTCAGAAACCAGATTTTCCATCAAGGCAGAAACACTCTAAATCCGTCACCTCCTGCTTGGTAATTGCAGGAGGGGGGCTGTGCCTCCAGCCCTGAGTGCTGAGCCAGCCCATGTGGGGACACTGGGGGCCCTCTGAAGTTGTCTGGGGGCAGAGACTCCCCTGGGTGTTTAATTCCCTTTGTCTCTCTCCCATCCAGAATCTTCTACGTGTCTCACGACTCGCAAGACCTGAAAATATTCAGTTACATCGCAAGGGACGGCGCTAACAACTCCTTCAGGTGCAACGTCTTCAAGTCAAAGAAGAAGGTAGGATGCTCCTGGGGCTACCGGGGGGAGGTCTCCAAGGGAGCCCAAGTAACCACTGGATGGAGATCCGTGAGGGGAGACCAAGGCAGCACCAGTGCTGAATGTCCCCAACACAACGTGCCTGGTGTCTGTCCCCTCCTGCCCCTGGGCCTCATCCAGTGGCCACAGTGGGTCTGAGCATGCCATGGGCTTGCTCCGCAGAGCCAGGCGATGCGCGTGGTGCGCACGGTGGGACAGGCCTTCGAGGTGTGCCACAAGCTGAGCCTGCAGCACGCGCTGCAGAACGCCGACGGGCAGGCGGACGGCGCCAGCGACAAGTCAGCCGAGGAGCAGCCCCTGGAAGGTGATGTGTGGGTCCCTGTGGGGCGGAGGGAGACCCCTCTGCAGTGGGGGGCTTTGGGAGGGGGGGACCTGCAGGGAGGCAGGTCCTTCATGGGCCAGCTCTAATGACAGCAAGACCTTTGGTTCCATTCAGATGGGGGGCATGGGGGTTCTGCCCTCTCTGCCCTCTCATCCTGGGCACCAGGAGCACTGAGGTTAAGCCCCATTGTCCAGCACGCTGAGGATCTGCCTTGTTCCCTTCCTCCTGCCTCTTTGCAGCATGGAGAGGGTTGGGGCATGTCCTGGTCCCTGGGCTGTCAACCTGGCTGACAGCCCTGCTCCAGGCCCTGGGTTCCTGCTGTGATCCTGCACAGAGGGGGCTTGGGTTTATGTGTCCGTCTCTTTTGAAGTTCACCAGATAAAGGGCTCCAAGATCATGGATGAGGTTGGCATCAACTCTGATGGCATCTGTGTGTCCGAGAGGGGACCTGGAGAGCTGCCAGGTGCCAGGGGTGACCTCGGCCTGCTGAAACCTGGGCAAGCCTCAAAGGATAAGAACTGCCAGGTAATAGAGGTGGGCTGGGGGACAGTCCCTGTGCTCTGCCTCTGCTGGGGTCCCTCTGCTCAGGGTCACTGTATCATAGTTTGATTTGGAGGGCCTTTTATGGAGACCCCATTGCAGACCCCCCCATTGCTCCTTGCAACTAAGCTGTGTCCCAGTGCTGGGACAGGAGAGGCAGGAGGCATGGGCATGGATGAGCAGGCTTCAAACAGGCTGGGTGAGCACAGGCAGGGCAGAGCACAGATGGGCTCTGCTGGAATGATCGCCCAGTGCTAGGCAGGACCTTCCTCCTGCAGCAGCATCCACACAACAGCCAGAAACTAAAAGGAGGTGTCTGGTGAGACAACCATTTCCCTGCCATTCAGGGTGCATTTCTGTGCCCCTGTTTGCTCATCAGACTGTTGACAGCGACACCCGGCTTCCCTCACCCCAAGGCTTAGGGAGCAGCATCCCTGAGGGGTCCCAGCCTGGCAGCACAGGCACCCAGGCCGCATTCAGCACGAGCAGTGGTTTCACCCTGATGAATAGCTGCTCTGCAGAGCTCCCCTGTGCGTGCTTCCAGGCGGCCTGAATGGCATTGCTTCATCTCACACAATCGGATCACTTGCAGGGCCTGCCTGGAACCAGCTGCGGTGAAATGCACTCAATGGGATTCATTTCCATGCCTGGAAAGGGAGAGCTTCCCTGCAGCTTCCTTCAGGGCCTGGAGCTGCCCAAGCAGGGAGAGCAGGGGGCAGAAAGGCAGCACCCACTAAACTGTCCCTAAACACCCTGTGCCAGGGTGGGAGGCTCCCTGCCGAGACCCCCAGTGCCATGCATGGGGCCACTGCAGGGTCCCCAGGGCACGGGAGGTGGCTCTAAGCTCACCCACCCTGTGCCAACGCAGCAGAACCAGGCTCTGAGCACCACGATGAGGTGCAGGGGGCTCATGGCTGTCAGGAGCTGTTCTGGAAGTGCTCAGTGGGAGCACTGCCCTTCTCATGCCAGTATCTCCACTGCTGGGACCACTTTTAATACACTGATGGCCCTGACACAACCACTGCTGCCACTGACAAATGTGTCAGGCAATGGAATACAGTCCAGCCTGGGCAGCCCCATCATGGGGAAAGTGATGGGGTATCTGACACCTCCTCCCTGGGGTCCTGCCCTCCCTATTTGGAGGTGCAGTCAGACACAGATGATTCAGCCCTGCAGTTCTCTGGGAGCGGACTCACTCCAAAACACATCCCCCATGGATCACACAGACGTGCAGAGCCTGACACACAGCCCAGGGCTGTCCCCTCAACAGACCCGTGGTGCCACGGGGACACACAATCCAAATCCCTGCCTGGTCCCTCCGCTCACCCTGCCTGTTCCTTTGTGCCCAGGATGCTGAGAACTGCTCGCTGCACCCGGCTGGCTCCCAGCCGCTGCTCAGCCCCAGCAGCCCCTGCTCCGCGGCCTCCATCACCCCGCTGGCCTCCCAGCACTGCCTCCAGCTGCTGCAGCAGCAGCTCCTCCAGCAGCAGCAGCAGACACAGGTGGCCGTGGCCCAGGTACGTGTCGTGTCCTGCCCCCCCGGGGCAGCACCAGCCCTTCTCCTCTCCCTGCTCCAGCCTCCGGCCAGGCTGGGCTCATAAAGGGGACACTGTGGGAATGGTACAGGGAGCTCACAGACACGGAGCTGGCTGCATGCATAAGCCCAAGCTGCTGTAACAGGGTGACAGGGGACCCAGCAGAGCCACCAGTTCCCATTTCATCCAAGTTTCGGAAGCCATCCCTACCAAGCTGCTTCCTGCAAACCGGCATCAGAGCGGGGGTCCCCCCTCGACATTCCACGTTACCGGGGATCAGCAGATCCCCTCCATCCCGTTCCACCATGCCCGGGATGCAGCCGCATCCCCCGTCCGCCGCTGGACCGGCTCAGGGGGTCCCGGTGGGGTGCGCGGCGGGGCCGGCAGGGGGCGCCGAAGCGCCGCGGCTCCCTGTCCCCGCCCGCATCGCCCCGTCCCGCATCATCCCGGTCCCCATCGCCCCGTCCCGCATCATCCCGGTCCCCATCGCCCCGTCCCGCATCATCCCGGTACCCATCACCCCGTCCCGCATCATCCCGGTCCCCATCGGCCCGTCCCGCATCATCCCGGGCCCCATCGCCCCGTCCCGCAGGTGCAGCTGCTGAAGGACCAACTGGCGGCCGAAACGGCGGCTCGGATCGAGGCTCAGGCCCGGGTGCGGCAGCTCCTGCTGACCAACCGGGACCTGCTGCAGCACGTCTCGCTGCTGGTGCGGCAGCTGACGGCGCTGGAGGCCCGGGACGAGAACCGGCAGCCAGGTGAGTGCACGGCGGGGAAGCCAGGGGTGGCGCGTCCCTGGGGTAAGGGGATTGGGTGCTGGGGTGCTCCCAGCATCATGCTTCTGGACCATTTCTGCACTCCTTACAGTCCCAGGGAGCAGTTGGGATGCTCCCAGCAGGCTCTGGGGTCACTTTGGAGCATCACTGCACTACTTGCAGTCACAGGGAGAAATTTGGGCGCTCTCTGGTGCCATCCCAATAAGCTCTGGGAGGCTTTGGAGCATCTCTGCACCCCTTAGGGTCCTGGGATGCAGATGGGATGCTCCCAGCACCAGCCCTTCAGAACACCCCTGCAATCCTTATGGTTCCAGAGAGCAGTTGGGGTGCTCCCAGTACAAGCCCAACAGGCTCGGGGGGGGGGGGCTTTGGAGCATCTCTGCACCCCTCATGGTCCAGGGCAGCAGCTGTGTTGGAGGTCCCCAGCTCTTCACACCCCCTTTTTGTCCCTCTCTCACCAGTTGACCGCTCCCTGCAAAACCTGTCCCTGGCTCAGTCCCTGTCCCTGAACCTGAAGAACCGCTACAGCCTGGACATCCACCTCCCGTCCACCTCCAGCCCCGCCAGCATCCTGGGCAGCCCCGTGGGCCCCGGCTCGCTGCCGGCCCTGGATCCTGGGGACTCCTACCTCAACCTCCTCAGCCTGGAGAGGGGCGGCCACCGCTGCGGCAGCAGGGATGGGGACGAGTACCTGGCGGTGCTGGAGGGGCAGGACGGGCTCAGCCGGCGCGTGGAGGGCTCCGAGGTCAGCGACTTTGCTCTGCTCAATGGCAGCAGCCGGCAGAAGGGGGACGACACGGACAGAGGGGACGAGGACAGGTGGGATGTGCCTCCACCACCTCCCCCAGCTGGAGCGGGAACACCCCTGCCCATCACCTCCTCTCTCTGCTTTCCTTCCCAGGCGGCCGCAGCCCATTCCCAAGCTGAATCCACCACCTCCCATCCTACGGAAGAGGTCAAGCAAGACCTCCCCGAGCCTGGAAGTGGAGGTGAAGCCCGAGAGCGCTGCCCACATGAGCCTGCCCAGCCCCAGCATCTCCAGCCTCACCAGCATCACTGCCAGCTCCCTCACCCTCTTGGACCCTGAGGCAAGGACTCCCGCACGGAGCAGTGCCTCCAGCACGGAGCCCATCCCAGCTGGGACCTGCCAGCGCGCTCTGGGCAAGGACAGGACTGGGGAGAGCGGGCAGATGTCCCCCCTGGGCAGCATCCATGACCCTGCAGCCACTGAGGCCTTGGCCAAGGACTTGGCTGCCCTGGCCAGCCCCATGGACAGCATGCTGCCCTTCTCCCCTGCAGACAATACGTGCTTGCACATCAGCTTCTCTGAAGATGAGCTGCTTGAACCAGAGCTGCACACTGCCCTGGGGCCCACCAGGGTCCCCTCTTAGTGGGACTGCAGTAGGTGGCAGCTGGCTCCCAGCAGCTCCATCCACACTGCTCCACCAGCCCACACTGCGGCTGGGGGTCCTGGTGCCCTGGCTGGGAAGCAGGTCCTTTTGCTGTTCCCATCCCATGTATGGGGCTGCCACACAGGATGCGACCTGGCCAGCTCACGCCCTCGGTCTGCACCAGCTCACACTGCCTTCCTGCTGCCCCGTCCTGTCCTGTCCCTGCTCACACAGCAGGATGCTGCCCGGGGTCCCTGCTCCAGGCAGACAATTCGTGTTCATCACTGCATCCCTTCTGTTGGCCGGGTGGCTGCAGGCAGCCCCGCACCAAACCCTGGCAGGATGTGTGCCATCGCCTGCTCTGCAGCTCCAGAGGGCCGGGAGCAGGCAGGCAGCACTGCTGGAAGCCAGGGATGGTGCTGGTTTGACTCGCCTTGGGGACATTCCCACCCAGCCAGCATTCCCTTGGGATGCTCCGCAGCAGAAACCCCCCTGGGTGTTGAACAATGGGAGCAGCCAGGCAGGGGCATGGCACAGTGCAGGGCTGTGAACACCCGGACAGGAGGCTGCTGTCATAACCCCATTCATCGGTTGTCACCTGCGAGTGGGAGCAGGCAGCACAGGCACAGTGCTGCTCCTGCACCCGGCTCCCCAAGGCAGGTGCCAAGGATGGTCCATGCTGTGCCCAACCCAGCTTTTGGGGACAGCAGCCCCAGTTCTGTGTCCCCACAGGGCAAAGCCACCACTGCCTCCCTCCACAGGTGCCTTTTCCCATGGCCCAGCACTGGGGCCACCCCCCCAGAGGCCAATGATAGGGTGCAGAGCTGGCCACTGGAGCCCTGGGCTACAGTGGGTGACCCCCCAGAGGGAGGTGCACCCGTGCCTTGGGGTCAGGGAGGGAGAGCCCTCCCGTGCCCCTCGGGCTGCCGGTGGCTGCTCCATCATGCTGGTTTCAGGGTGCTGTGGTGTGGTTGGGGTTTGGTCTCGGAAGTGCAAGTGTCCTGGGAGGAGTTAAGGTGTAAAAGAGAAGCCCAGCTCTGGGTGAAGGGCACCAAATGGCCCCTTGACCCTGGGCAGGTTTTGGGGAGGGACCCAAGGAGATGCTCGTCCACCTCGGTTGTTTGCAAGAGGGCGTTGGGAAAGTGTTGGAGGGTCAAGATGGGAACGTGCCAAGCAGGAATGGAGCCTGGGAGCAGCCACAGTGCTCGATCCGGGCACGGTGCTGCTCCCATGGGGGGGAAGATGGGAGGAGATGGGACATGCACCCCAAAGCCAGCCATGGCCGGGAGGAGCAGGATGGGAGCTGGCAGCATCCCCACTGGGGCTTGTAAAGCTGGGGCTGGGCTGTCCCATAGTGCGGTAGAGACGGCCCCAGCCCATCCTAGGAATGAAGTCACTGCAGCTGGTAACTGACTTTTAAAGGCTATAAAATAAAGGTGTCCACTTTGCAGAGCGAGTGCTGTGGTCTCTGCCCCACCGGGGGATGCGCACAGGGAGCCCCAAACTGTGCCGGTGCCCTTGGACATGGATTGGGAACCTCCAGGTATTCCCAAAGAAGAGTGAGCCCTGCTGTGATTGGAGGCTGCCCCGGGCCACCAGCCTGTCCCCTGCACCCTCCCATCCCCAGCCCCAGTTCAAACACAGCTCCCAGCAGCCCCATAGTGGGTCCCGTGTCCCCACACATCCAACAGGTTCCTCCATCAGCGATGGGGCCCATTTCCAATGCAAACCCCAAGCCCAGCAGCACTCAAACCGTGCTGCACGGCACCAAGTGCTGCTGCCTGCCGCAGCCCCACCGGAGCAGGCAGCCCCTGCTCCCCACACACCCCCTTTGCCTTTCTTGTCCCCATTTCTGCTCCCGAGACAGCCGCTGGCCCCACGCTGAGGAAGGGAATACAACAGGGAGGAGGCAATCACAGGCAGGCAGCAAAGCCCCTTTGAGGTGAGGAAGGGACCCCATGGGTGACACAGCACAGAGGATGGATGGGGACCCCATGAGACTCCTGCCATGCAGAAGGGGGGACCCGGCCCAACCCTGGGTGTTGGATGGACCAACAGCCTCTGTGGTGGTCCTGAGCCACCCTCCATGGGGCGGATGCCGCCTCCAGCGCGATGGAGGCAGGAGCAGGGAGCCCTTTCCCTAGGCCCACTGCAGACATCTGCCTGGGGGGGCTGCCTGCACGGGGAGGGGGCGCTTCCAGCCCAGCATCTTATTATGCTTCCTTCATGGGAAGAAACTTTTTCCTCTGCTGTCTGGTAAGCTGCTAGCAATCATCAGGCAGGCAGGTGGTAAAGATTCACATCCATCAAACAATGCCATTTAGTTTGTAACCTGTGACTAAATCTGGTGTTAGCTTTAATTTCAGAGTCTGCTTTAGGGCTCGCTTGTTAATCTCTATGCAAAGCAGATGAAATGAATATGCAGCATTTTGGATGTAATTGTACGGCTTCAATTCAGCACTATAATTTTCCAAACAGGATCTTGCAATCAAGCTTCTATTCATTAGTGTATAAACAATTTAGTTTCTCAGCTCTCCAGTATGCCAATCATCTCAATGGAGTGAGCATCTCCGACAAAAAGAGGAGGAAAGTTTCCTTTGTGTAACAGAGGTAAAAGTTGCTCCGTACTTCGGACAATTCCTGCCTGGCAGATCCATGGGCTGTTCCCATGGAGTGGCCCATTCCCAGTGCCCCACAACACTGCCCCACTGCAAGCAGCATGCAGGGGGACAATGCCCTGGTGACCTCCCAGCCAATATACACCAACAGTTCTAGGTGTGAGACCCCAGCAGATGAACCTGGACCATGCAGAATCAGGCCGGCTGGAAGGATGCAACCACACAGCACCACATCATCTCCCAGTGATGCTCAGGGTTCCCAAAGCAGCCCATGGCTTTGGGAAGGAAATGGCCGCCCCAGCCAAAGCCCCTGCACATCCTCATCTCCCCTACATCACACACCAGCTCAGCCTTCCCTGCTGGAGCCACAGGGCAGGGCACCACTGGACACCCCATATCCAGGGACTAACAGCAGCTCCTCCCATAGAGCACGGGTGCAGGGTGGCACAGGGATGGCTATGAGGCAGTCTCATGGTCTCAACCCCTCACACCTGGGTGCTTCCCTCAGCGGGCACCCACGGATGCTGCACACTCGCATCCAGCACCAGCCGCATCCCCATCCCTCCGCTCCCGTCACCGCGGAGGGACCGAGCGCCTCGACAAAGGGAAGCGCTGCCGGCGGAGCGCGGGCTCCGTCTCCAAATGAATATCGACAGCGCTAATTACAGGCCGCCATGCAGACAGCTTATTAGCTCCTCACAAAAAGACGGTATTGAACTCGCAGCCCGCGGTATTCACGGAGCGCAGCAAGACGCTCCCCAGACAGCACAGCGACCCAGGCAGGCGAGCAACCTCCAGCAAAACTAATTACTTCCTGATTGTCTACGGCCACCCACTGGGTATAATGGTATAGACTAAATTTGGCATATACATAACTAAGCACTCGGCACCAATTTGGCGCGCAATAATCATCCTCTGTGTTGCATAATTAAAATCTGATCACTTGGAATAATTATTTCATGTTCTCACTATTGGGTGAGGATTGCATAATGCGGGGTGGTAGGAGCCTGGGAAGGAAACTGGCCGTTCTTACAGGCATTGGATCCCTGGGAATGGTGCTACAGCTCCAGACATGGTGAGGGACCTGCTCAGTGCCGGCTGCCTCCGATGGGTGCCAACAACAAGGCTGTTTGTGGGCACTGGAGGAGATGGAGTCACCTTACTCTGCCCCTCTGTGGCAATGAGCACGGCCCCTGCGAGCCCTCACTGTTAGGGGAGGGCTCTGCCCGCTCAGGACAGGCTGTCCCCGTGTCCCCAAGCAAACACCCTTTGCGCTGACCTTTCCAGGCAGGCTCCTGCCACCCGGCCGGGATGCTCAGCACCGCCCGACCCCATTGTGCTCGTGCGTCTGCTAAAGGCATTTGGAAAGACACGGCAATAAGAAATAAACCCCCAAGTGGAACGTGTGTGTCTGAGCCATTCACTTCCTCTGGCGGCTCCCCGGGGACCCGGCGAGGAGGAGAAAGAATACATGGATATTGCACGCGCCCTGGCACCTTGTCCCCGGGCCAGCCCCGCCGCTGGCCGCTGCCACGGGCTCATAAATCACAGCGGGCGACAGCGTTTCACAGCTCGCTTCCCAGCCAGGATATGGCCATTCCTGCTGATTACACGGCCGGCGCGCGGGGGGAAGCTGCATCTCCCACTTCCAGGAAGGGAGGATCCGCAAGGAAAACGCATTGATAAAAAGAAGAACGAAATCAGCTTTGTTCACGTTGCGAAGCTCCCATTGTTCCTGCTGCGGCCGTCAGCCCTCGCTGGAGAAAGTATTTCCTCAGCGATAAATCTCCTGGGCTCCTCGCCTTGGCACCGGACCCTCCTCGGGTTGTTTTGACAGAGAAAGCAGCTTTACCACAGGGTAATTCATGGTGTGACTGGGGAGGGGGGGGGAATCAGGGACATCCCTGCGGCTGTGCTCATCCCGGGGGTCTCTGTCCCATGTCCCCAGCCAGACCCACACCAGGGGACCTGCGCTGTTCCCGTCCCACAGATCCCAAATCCTCCCCGTCGGCGCAGCACAACCCGGCACGGGCCTGGGGAAAGCAAATCTGCCTGCGGCCATGCTAATCCCAGCACTGGAACACGGATCGTGCGGTGGCCAAGCACTGGAAATACGGGAGCCGGGCTGACAGTGGTACAAGAAAAACAGATCGAGTTCCCAAGAAAATAGAGGCGAACTGATCCGATTTTCAGCAGCATCTTCGGGAAGCCCCAGCCCGTCCCCTCTTCCCTGCTCTCTGCGTTACAAACCACTTAATTCCTTGTTGCTTTGGAAACCCTCACAAAGACCCTCTGCATCCCCCAAAATAACGAGCAACAGATGCTGCTCTGACCCCAGCAACTTCCTGGAAACACGCATTTGTCAAAATAAAAACAAAAAGATTAATGTGAGGAAGGCTCCTAAATTATAAGGGAACAGCAGACGGAGCCCGGCCGCGCACGCCTGCATCGGGAACGGTGAGCACTCGGACAGAGCAGGAACACGGGGCTGGGCAGGGAGAGGGCTGCAGGACCGGGGGTCCCTGTGCCCCTGCTGCCCTCCAGCCCCAGGAGGGGATGCAGTGGGTGCAGGGGCAGCCCTGCCCTACCCCATCTGCCACACCTCCAGGGGTTGCAGGTTGGGATCAGTGACCACAGGGCTGCTTCAAGTCAGGTTTGCAAGATAACCTGAGAGTCAATGCAAAACCAGAGGCTTTCAGCATGAAACCCACCCCTGAGCAGCCCCCATCTCCAAAAGGGCAGCACACCATTCACTCCTCCCGTGTTTCTTGCTTTATAGGAGTAACTGGCTTCTTCTAGAGAGGTTTAAACCCCCTTTGCTCACCCACAGGGGGAAGGAGATGTGCAAACAACTGGTAACCAGGAACTTGCTGGTTATGCTTGAACACCAGTGGGTTTCAACCTCACCCTCTGGCTGCAGCCACCATGTTCACGCCTGGGCACAAAGCACTCACCCAGAGCATGCACAATGCCAGGGCTCCTGACAGCCACGCTGGTGAGTGACCCACGGCACAACCCATCCCCTGCAGCCCTCAGCACTCACCAGAGCCGCGGGCAGGCAGGGAGGCAGCACAGGCTCCATACGGGAGGAGCCCATTCTCCTTCCCAGCTTTATAGGATCAGCCAGAAACAAGCTGCTGGGGAGAGCTGCTCCTTGGCCTGGTGGGATGTGGGCTGGGTGGAGGTGGGGATTCAGTGCACCTGGAGCAGGGGGGTTATGGGCACATTGGGCATCCCCATCCCCATCCTCATCCCTATCCTCATCTCCTGGTTGCGCCCACCTTTCTGCTGCTGGGGGGCCTGAGGAACACCCCCACCCATGAGGGTGTTTTCTCCCTGGGGACCCCATGACCAGGCTGGGGGTGCACCCACCTTGGCGAGAGGCTGCAGCACCCTGGGTGAATGCTGCCCCGGGAAGGCAAATCCTGACCCAGGTTGGGCTGGGGGCTCAGTCCCCCCCCCAGCACCAGCCAGGATCCCTGCAGTAACCATGGCAACGGCCATATACATGTACATATTCTTCCCGTTAATCACAGGGACATCAGAGCAAGTGTCCTCACTGGGTTGTTCCCCACCTCGCACCTGGGGCCGTTCCCCTCTGCCACCCCTTCCCTGTTCCCATGGGAAGCTGCCTGTGTCCAGGCACCCTGGTACCTTCCGCAGTGATGTCCCTGGACCAAATCCTGGGTGAAACCCACCAGGAGGAGAAGCATCAAGCCCTTGGCTGCTCAAGATGTATTTGTCTGACCTCTGCCCTCGGTAAAGGACCCGGAGCGGGTGGATCAGCCGGAGGTGCTCACACTTACTCACATCAACCCCACCTCAGTGCCAG